CACAAGACAAATCAATATCTCCATGAGATCTACCTGTACAAAAAATCCCTATGTGAAGCAAATACCCCTCATCACCTACCCATCCAACATCTTCATTCTAGGTAGTGGGTTTCAGAAGCATCCAGAAATTACTATCTGAGGATCAGTATCTAATGACCCTCAAGATATGTGGGTTTTGCTCTTTCCAGAGCCCACACTTGCCCTCGCAAGTGGCAGGCCCTATTGAGCCGTCTGGTGAGGCTCTTTCTGACTTGCTACAGTTGAGAAATGCCTTTTCAGGAGCTGGAGCGATAGCACAGGGGCTGGAGCGATAGCACAGCGGTAGGGCGTTCGCCTTACAAGCGGCCAACATGGCCGACCCGAGTTCGATTCCTCCGCCCCTCTCGGAGAGCCCGGCAAGCTACCGAGAGTATTCGATATGCCAGACACAGTAACAACAAAGTCTCCAATGGAGACGTTACTGGGCCCGCTCGAGCAAATCGACGATCAATGGGAGGGCCTTTACCTTTTTACCTTTCCTGAAAAGAATTTTCTCAACTGGGACCACCTGGCATTTTTTTTAATCACTAAAAGGGGTTGGAGCAATAGCATAGCAGGTAGGGTGTTTGCCTTGCATGTGGCTGACCGGGTTCGATTCCCAGCATCCCATATGGTTCCCCAAGCACCGCCAGGAGTAATTCCTGAGTGCAGAGCCAGGAGGAACCCCTGAGCACCGCTGGGTGAGATCCAAAAAGAAAAAAAAATCACTAAAAGTTTGATATCATCAAACAAATTTGTCATGCAAGGAAAAGTCACTTATTCTACCCCCCTGTTCTGCACTGTCTCCAAATCTGCAATAATGAGAGTTCAATCCCAGCATGTCCCAGGGGATCAAATGTAAAACAAATCTGGAGAAAGGTACACACACACACACACACACACACACACACACACACACACACGCATCATCCTGAGCATGACCAGGCATGGCCCCAAAAGCAAATCAACAACAAAAAGAGCTTGTTGGGGCAGTGACTTAAGAGCAGAGGAACATTGCCAGAGAATTATGGTTGCTGGGTACCTCCTGTGGGGCCAGAGTCTGAGATGAGGGCATGAAAGGACAGGGAGGCAGCTCAGACACTTCAGGTGCCAATGGCCTATCTGTAGGAAAGAAGGCCCACTGGCTCTGAAAGCAGAAACTTCCCATGAGCATGAGTGGGAAGGGAACTTGAATTTTTTTTCTAATGTGAGAAAAGATACTTTGAAACCTCCATTTGGTTCATTGGTTTGAGAAATAAAAAAATGTGGCAATCAGGGGCTGGAGCAATAGCATAGTGGGTAGGGCATTTGCCTTGCACGCAGCCCCTCCGAGCACTGCCAGGAGTGATTTCTGAGTGCAGAGCCAAGAGTAACACCTGTGCATCGCTGGGTGTGACCCAAAAAGGAAAAAAAAAAGGTGGCAATCAGAAAATTTCTTGAGGAAATAGAGATGCGTGGGTGGAGACTACAGATGTGTGTGACCTCCGTAGGTCATCGACTCTCTGGGCCTGGTTCAAGACTGGCAGTGCTAGGGCCGGAGTAATAGTACAATGGATAGGGCACTTGCCTTGCACACAGCCGATCCAAGCTCCATCCTGGACATCTCATATGGTCACCTGAGCCCTCCAGGAGTGATCCCAGAGTGCAGAGGTAGGAGTAAGCCCTGAGCATTGCTAGAATAGCCCAAAAGCAAAGACTGTGCAGTCTTACCTGGGGATTAAGAAAGCAGATTCCTAGTCCTTAGCCCAGACCTATGAAGTCAGAACGCCCGAGAATGGTGCCAAGGGAGCTTGATTAAGGAACAGCTGCAGGGCGGGGCTGAGAGGGTGGAAGCGGCTGCTTTCACGCAGGAGTTCGAGCTTCAGGTAGACCCTCATGGTTCCCAGCATCATACAGAGAAGGGCTCCTGAGCAGGAGAAGGCGAACTCCCCCAAGGAAAAAATGGCCAGGGTGATAGTGCAGTGGGCAGGGTGCTTACCATGATGAGGCTGAGCTGGGGTCAACCCCTACACTCCATATTGTCCCCTGAGTCTCGCGAGGAAGGATACCTGAGCACAGAGCCAAGAGCAAACCCAGGTGTGGCCCCAAAAACAAGAAGAAAGAGGAGCTGGAGTGATAGCACAGCAGGTAGGGTGTTTGACTTGCGCACGGCTGACCCGGGTTTGATTCCCATCGGTCCCTGAGCACCGCCAGGAGTAATTCCTGAGTGCAGAGCCAGGAGTAACCCCTGTGCATTGCCGGGTGTGACCCAAAAAGAAAAATAAAACAATAAGAAAGAAATCTAGAAACAGTGCATTATCCACAGCCCTGCACCCTCTGCCGTTCCTCTGGCCACTCTGCCACTTTTTCTCCTTCCCTTCCCTCTGTTGATGTGGCTGAGACAAGGGCTGTACACAGGCCAGGCCGTCGTGGTGCTCATACTTGTGGCTGCAGTGGTGGGCGAGGACCGCTCTCCTTTAGCTGCAGGTGGAAGTGCTCTCTGGTGGAAGTGCTCAATCCTCACTGGGGGCCTTCCTTACTCACCAAGTACTCGCAAGGGACAAATAGCTGGCAGGGGTGCCACAGGGTACCTCTGTGTGACCGGGATCTCAGAGAGACAGCAGAGTTGCTGGGATGGTCCTCAGCTCATGCAGGTGGCACCCAGGGTCAAACTCTTGGCCTCGGGTTTCCAAGGTGTCAATTTAGCACTCAGCCATCTCCCAGCCCTTCATCTCTTGCGCTGTTTCTAGGTTTCTTTCTTTTTTTTGTTTTGGGGGCCGCATCTGGGCTTGCTCTTGGCTCTGTGCCCAGGGATTCTTCCTGGTGAGGCTCAGGGGGACCATATGGAGTGTAGGGGTTGAACCCAGCTTAGCCTCCTCAAGGTAAGCGCCCTGCCCACTGTATTATTACTCTGGCCATTTCTTCCTTGGGGGAGTATGCCTGCTCCTGCTCAGGAGCCCTTCTCTGCATGACACTGGGGACCATGAGGGTCTACCTTGACTTCTAAGGGCAGAAACTAATGTGATCTGGTCTTGGGCTTTGTATAAATGGAAGTCAATGGTATGCATTGCTCCCTTGACTCCTGCTTCTCTCTGTAAGATCCAGCTGTAGTCTGGCACCCAGTGGGCAAGTTGCCCCCTTCTCATTGCTGCAGGATGTGTGGCTGCACCTTTCATTCCACTGACTTGGGGGCAGGCCGGCATCCAGCATGGACCCAGCCCCACTAGTGCTCTATGAATGTTCCAGCACACACTCATTGGGTCCATATGTTCCTAGGAGAGGAATTTTGGAGCACTCAGCCCAGTTTAAAGGAACTGAGTTTTGAAAGTAGGTAAGGATATACTTGATAACTGTATTGCAAACCATAATGCCCAAAAGAAAAGTGTGTGTGTGTGTGTGTGTCTGTGTGTGTGTGTCTGTGTCTGTGTGTGGGGTGGGGGGTGGGAATGCGGGGGAGAGAGAGAGAGGGAAAGACAGAGAAAGAAAGAAAGAGAGGGAACAAGAGGGAGAGATAGAGAAAGAGAGAGAGAGAGAGAGAGAGAGAGAGAGAGAGAGAGAGAGAGAAGTACCTGCCATAGTGGCGGGGGTGAGGGGAGCGGAAGGGAAACTGAGGACATTGGTGGTGAGAAACATACACTGGTGAAGGTATGGGTGTTGGAACATTATGACTGAAATCCATTCATAAACAATTTTGTAACTGTGTATCTCACTGTGATTCAATTAAAAATATATTTTTTAAAAAAATGTGCAGAAGAAGATAACAATATAGTCCACTTCCCCATTCCTGTCTGCCACCGCAGTCTGAACAAGACATAGGCTTGGAGAGTTCTGTGAATTCACAGCAATCAGAAATCTTACACATTCTGGGCTGGAGAGATAGTACTGTGGGCTGGGCACTTGCCTTTGATGCACCTGACACGGGGTTCGATCTCTGGCATCTGATATGGCCCCCTGAGCATTGCCAGGAGTTATTCCTGAGTGCAGAGCCAGGAGTAACCCTTGAGCATTGTGACCCCAAAATTAAGTAAATTAATTAATAAATACAGGTTGCTGTGAAGGGACCAATAGAGATGCGAGGCTGCAGGAGGGGAGGGTTCAGTGAGAGTATGTGAGGTCCTGGGAAGCAGGAGACAAGAGGCGGGAGGGTTGGGCCAAGCCAAAGCCGGGAATCCCGAGTGTGCGTGTGTGCGTGTGCGTGTCACGCACGTGGGTGTGTGGGGGGGGGTGCTGAGAAGCCTGAATGTGGGAGTGGGGGAGGAGGGGACACTCCTTGTGTCAGCCTCAACATTTTGGTGTGAAGAAACAAGATTAGATGAGGTGCTTGTGGGCAGGTTCAGGGTCTCAGGCAGGGGTGAGGGAAAGGGTCTGAAATAGGGTGCAGTCAGCAGAGATGGCTGTGGGAGGGAGAGATGGGGGTCCATGACTTGTGGGATTTTGTTGCAGAATAGGAATCCCAGGAATTCAGGGTTTCCCAGAGGCAGCAACCCACGTGTTCTGTGGCGCCACCTGCTGGACTAAGCCCGCATGGCAGTCCCTCCTCCAACCTGGTCTCCCTGGGCTGAGCTTGACCTGATGCAACCCGCAACTGTATGCTGGAACCTGGTCACATGCTGACACTAAACCCCAGCCACAATGTAGCTGGCTTCCATTCCAGTCCACTAAGCTCACATAAGAATCCCAAACAGGCAGAAGATTCAGGATTGTTCTCTGAAAAGGGGGGGGACAGGGGTGTTCTGGGGGTCTCAGGACCTGTGGCTCTACCCCTAGGCTCCCCCTACCCTGACAGCGTGCCCCCGACAGGGGAGCACAGGACCATGAGAACCCCATGAGCCCTCTGCCCTAATAGGGCAGGTTCACATGAGCCTCCCTTGGCCGTTCCCTGCCCAAACCTGTTCTAGATTCCGTCACCTCCCTCCCCTAAGGCTGCCACCACCTCCCACCCAGCAGCTCAGCCAGGGCCTCCCGAGAAGGTTCCGTGCGAAGGCTGGCAGGCAGGAGCGGCCATGGGCGATGCTGCGGTGGAGGGGCCTGTGCTCTACCAGAAGCTGCAGCTGTGGGAGTCCAGCCTGGAGGAGGAGGAAGAGGACGAGATCTCAGAGCTTCTGGTTCCTGACCCCTGGAGGCCCCAGGAAGCCGCTGGGTGAGTCGGAGAGGGTTCCGGGCACCAGCTCCAGGTCTGAGACTGGCAAGTCCTTCCCTCCGGAGCCCCAAGAAGGCGGGTAGAGAGAGGCTGGGCAGGTAACCTGGGGCTTGGCTCCACTCCAGGAACATTCTGGTCGAATGAGGGCAAGCTTGGGCCACAGCCAAGCCTGGGCCAGTCCACCTGAGGTCTGGCCGCTGAGGGGACCTTCGTACCAGGCTGGCCCTGCCCCCACCTCTGCCTTCGAAGACAGCAGCTGGGCAGGTTGGGATCTGGCTATGCATGGCTGAGCCCGGGTCCCCAAGCCTATCAGACCCCCTCCAGCCACCAGGACCCCACTAGCCTCGCCTTCCCCAGACCCCCTCCACTGCTGTCCTCAGTTTCTCCAAGCTTTTTCCGCTCCATGCTGTGCCCTTGCTTTTCTTCTCTTGCCCAAAAGACAGAATCTTTATTTCATTTTATGGGGGGGGGGGGGGGGAGGGAGTTTGGGTCATACCTGGTAGTGCTCGGGGATTCCTCCTGGCTCTGTGCTTAGGGGTCACTCCAGGTGATGCTGAGCTGAGATTGAACGCAACTTGGCCACATGTGAAGCGAGCACCTTACCCCGTCCTATCTCTTTAGCCCAAGATCGGCTTTTCTTGCACACCCGTCCCTGAATTCACTTGGGGCTCTTGGGTGCTGGCCCTGGTTCCGGCTCACGATCCCCCTCTCTGCAGGAACCAGGCTGGCGGCCTTCCTGGGACCTGGCCCCGAATAGCCGCGGCCCTGCTGCTGCTCGTCGTGGTCTTCTCCCTGGCCACAAAGCGACTGCAAAGCAGTGGCTCCCCTCCAGCCCCCCTGGGCTCAGCCGCACCCCCTCGCAGCGGGCACACCCACCGCCCTGGGGTCTACCACCACGGAGCTGTCATCAGCCATGCAGGTCTGGGCAGGAGCCCTTGGGGGAGGAACAGGGCTGGACACAGCCCCTGCACCCCCATCACGGTCCCTTCCTTACTGCAGCCCCGTGTTCCCACCTGGCCCGGGAGCTCCTTGCTGCAGGAGGCAACGTCGTGGACGCTGGAGTCGGAGCAGCGCTGTGCCTGGCGGTGGTGCACCCCCATGCTACAGGGCTAGGTCAGTGACCCCCGACCCCTGCCATGACCCCAAGGCCAGCCTAGGCACTGACCAACATCTCACATAGCCAGTGGCCCTGACCTCAGGGCTGCCTCCAACCAAGGGGTAACGGTCAGTGCTGGGAACTCATGCCCTCAGGTAGGTGATGACCATCTCCAGGCCTGCTCAGTAGCTCCCGGGCCAGTTGGGTACCCCCTCCCCTGAGGCTGCCGCCTGCCCCCAGCCCTGTGTGACACTTCATCTCCCCCCAGGTGCCTTGTTCTGGGGGCTCTTCCACAACGGCTCCTCCGGCAATACAAGCGCTTTGGTGCCAGGCCCAGCTCAGACACTTGCCCCCGGCCTGGGACTGCCCTTGGCCCTGCCTGGCCTGGCCTTGCTGCATACACACTTCGGCCATCTGCCCTGGTCGCACCTGCTCGAGGGCCCTGCCACGCTGGCCCAAGAGGGCTTCCTGGTGGACACAGCCCTAGCCGAGGCTCTGGCGGCTTGGGGTGCAAAAGGCCTCTGTCCTCTGTTCTGCCAGCCTGATGGAAGACCCCTGGGCGCTGGAGCCCAAGCCACCAACCCCAAACTGGCAAAGGTACTCCGTAAGGCAGCACTTGCCCCCGACCCCAGACTTGCTGGGGAGGCCCTGCTGGGTCCTCTGGCTAGAGACCTGGGGCTGGAGGCGCCACCGGCCGGGCCCCTGCCCACCTTGCAGCCAGCTCTGCCCCTCCCTGTGCGCCAGGGCCTTCTGTTTACCACCCCCAGCCCTTCAGCTGGCCCCGAACTGTTGGCACTGCTGGGGGAAGCCCTCCACACAGGGCGGCCCAGGCCCGCCCCTTGTCCCCCACTATCTCCTGTGCCCCCTGGGAGCAGTGTCCTGGCCACAGTGGACAGCAGCGGCTCTGTGCTCCTTCTCGCCTCCTCACTCAACGGTTCCTTTGGTTCTGGACGCCTGTCACCGAGCACCGGGGTTCTGCTCAGCAAGCCGGAGGCCTGGTCTGCAGCTCAGGCCTGGGCCTGCCCACTCATCTTTCGTGACAACTCAGACGACACAGAGGTCGATGTGTTGGGGCTGGTGGCCTCGGACAGCCCCACAATGACCAAAGCCATGTCTAGTGCCCTGCTCAGCCACCTAGCTGCATCTCAGCCCCAGCCCCGGCAAGGACAGGCAGCGGAACCCCACGTTTGTGGCCAGGGGACCCTGCTCCAGGTGGCAGTCCATGCAGAACATGTCCACGTCTCCAGTGTCCCCAAAGACTGTTGCCCTTTTGCGGGGTTATAGTGGGTGAGAAGTCTGCCATGGGGTGAGGGGCCTTCAAACCTGAAGGACAGGAGCTGAACCAGTCCAGCAGCATTGGGGGATGTGGAATGTGTTCATAGATCTTTTACTTACATAGGCTTGGGCTCCGCACCTCGGGCCCGGGCTGGACACCTGGCTGTTGTCAGCTAAGAAACCAGAGAACCAGAAGAAAAGCGCTCCAGGCTCAGGCTAAGTTGAGCTCCTACTCTGGGAAGATTGGGTGACAGGAGAGCAAGTTCCTGCTTACACTCTGGGCTCAGCGGGCAGCACAGGCAGCACCTGGGATGTTACTGACCTCACGCCCCCCCCACCCCCCCGACAGACCACCTTCTGCTGATCTTCCTCAGCTAGGCTGAAAACAAAATAAACCTCAAGTCTCCTGGAAGCCAAGAGCCATTCTGCTTCCTGGCTAATTTCTACTTGCGTCAGCGGTCTAGGGTCAGACACCCCCAAGACACCCCCACCCCACCCCCACCCCCACTCCAAAAGCACAGGGAGCCCCCATACCCAAGGAGGCAAGAAAACCCGCAGGTCTCAGCTCCCCCAGTCTGCTCACCTTCTGCCTCCTACACCACCCTACACACACACACACACACACACACACACACACACACACACACACGTTAAGTCTTCATATCCTGCAAACATACTGCAAAGAAAGGGATAGAGCAAGAGAGTAGGTAGAAGGGGCCCCAAGGGGTTCTTAAAAGGCTAGAGGTGAATGTGAGGAATTTAAAAGCCAGGGTTGGCCTTACCTCCCCCTGGTGGAAGGCAAGGCTCTCTGCACCTCATCCCTTCAGAAACAGAGGCTCGTGCTAAGAAGCAGGCCTGGCTAGTAGCTCCTCCCCAAACCCCTGCCATTGCAGAGGACATTTGACTTCACAGAAAACATGATCCCACCACTGTCACAGCAGTCCCTCGTACCCCCAACGCGCGCGCACACACACACACACACACACACACACACACACACACACCCCAAGTAACCTTTCCCCCAACTCAGAAGATGGTACCAGAATTCACCCAATTATCTAAGCTGCAAACCTGAGATCTCTCTCTTTACCTCTTCCCACATCCATCGCCACCAGCCACTTCCTAATCAACCCCAGTATGGATTTTGGTCCTTGTGGGGTGCTTCTCTGGTTTCGGTTTTGGAGCCACATCTAATGATGACGAAGGGTTGCTCCCGGTGACGTTGGAGATCAACCCCAGGACTGCTGCATGCGGAGCCTTTTGAGACCCAATCTGAACTGCTCTCATGTTACTTGAATGACCCACTATTTTCTCTCCAAGGGGCATTGGGCTTTGGTCTTGGAACTCCTGCCATCCACTTCCCACATAGCCACCAGAATGTAAAATGAAAACCTGGGCCAGAGAGATAGTGCGTATGGGCTCTTGCCTTTCACATGGCCAACCCGAATTCGATATCCCATATGCTCTCATCAACACTGTCAGGAGTGATTTCAGGGTGCAGAGGGAGGGGTAACTCCTGAGCATTACCGGTGTGGCCAGAAAAAAAACAAACAGAGAATGTAAAATAAAAATCTGATGAAGTCTTTCCTCCCTCACGTAATGAGAGGATGTCATGTCAAGTGAAATAAATCAGAACGAAAAGAACTAATGCTAAATGATCTCACTCGTGTGGTAAATAAAGGAACAAAGAAGGGAATGGACTGTGGTGAATGAAAACAAACCCTTGGCCATGATAACAGAACTGAGCTTTATGAGGGGTGGGGAAAGGAAGGGAGAACAGGGAAGGCAGAGCAGACATTATCACTCCTATTAAAAAATAATAAAGAATTTTTGTTTTTAATACATAAATCAACCATTATAATTTTTTCACTAAAATTGAATAAGGTAAAACACAAAAAGTCTGATTCCACGTAATACCACCCAAAAGAAAACATAGACTACTTCTGGCACTCACTATATTCTCTCCTGCCTCCTCCTACAAAATAAAATTCTACCATTAACTTCACTTGTCTGTTCTCAAACTTCATGTTAATAGTCATTTGTATGCAATCTTTTGTCGCCGTAATTTTTAATTCATTATTTGTGTCTGTGGTATTCCTTCAAATTGTTTTATGTTCCAATATTTTCTTTGTTTAAATTACTGCATAACCTGTAAAATACAAGAAATGTGCATTGACCTCTGACCATTGTTCGTCAACTTGATTCATAGTTCTGAATCAAGACTTCAGAAACTCTCGTAAATTCTTAAGTGATAGGGGTACTAGGTAAGGCTTTCCTCCCATTGACAAGACTCTGAGTGGGTTCCCGATGGCTTGGGGCTGGGGTTGGTCACAGGAAGGACTTCAGTCTTTCTCCCTACTCTCCAGAAAGGAGTGAGGGGATGAAAATGGGTTAAAACAGGATCTTGCCTCTAGGAAAATCACAATAGTATGTATTTTGGGGAGCTTTCAGGTGAGTTCCGGGAGCACATCCACGGGACAGCGAGGATGGCGCTTTGCAACAGGAGGGAACTTGGAACTTCTCCCCTTCTCAGGACTCATCTCAACCTTCCTATGGATCTTTCTATCTGCTTATCTGGATTCTTAGCGTCTCCTTTAATAAACTGGTAAATGTGATTTCCTCAATACCAACCGAAAAAAAAGACTCCTAAGATTTTTCACCACATTCGGATTAAAATCCGAACTGCCGACCTCCAACCGGAGCGCGGGAACGGGTCGCCCCGACCCTCCCGGGCCGCCCCGCCTCTCCAGGGACGCCCCGCCCCCTCCCGAGACGCCCCGCCTCTCCAGGGACGCCCCGCCCCCTCCAGGGACGCCCCGCCCAGTCCCAGGCGCCAACGCGCGTGCGCAGGGACTTGGCCCGGAAGTGTTAGTGTGCCGGACCCACGTGTTGGGCAGCATGGCGGAGATGGAGCTCGCGAACGGCTCCGAGCCCCAGCCTCCCCAAGAGACGAGGAGGAATGGCGCCCGGCCTGCCGACCGCCAGGGCCTGCTGCAGCACAGCCGCGAGTTCCTGGACTTCTTCTGGGACATTGCAAAGCCGCAGCAGGAGGCGCGACTTGAGGCCACGGAGAAGCTGCTGGAGTATCTGCGCACCAGGCCAGAAGTATGGGGCGGCAGGGGCCGGGCAGGCTGTGGCGGCGGACCCTGAGGGGTGGGTGGTGGCCCGCCCGGGCGCCGGGCGAGTGTGGGCTCCGCAGAGCGCGGGACGCCCCTTCCCTGTGATCAGCGAGGGGCTTTGGCTTGGTTCCGCAGGGGTCCGAAATGAAGTATGCCCTGAAGCGCCTTATCGCCGGCCTCGGAATCGGGCGGGAAACTGCCCGGCCCTGTTTCAGTCTGGCCCTGGCACAGGTGAGCAGTGGGGTCAGAGAGGGGCTCACCGGTTACGGCGAAGACCAGGGGCAAGTGGGTTCTTTCCGGGAGAAGTTCCTACGTGAGCCCGTGTTACCGAAGAGAAGCCAGGACTAGGGTGGGAAGTCGAGCAGATATTCCTGTAACGTGGGGGTCGGGGTACCGCAGTCTCTCGTACGTTTACTGGGAGCAGTAAACTTTGGGGTTGATTTTCTCACCCCTAAATGGTTCAGGGTCGTCTCTCTTCTGGGGACCTTCAGCTGATTGTAGCCCCGTCCCTCAAAAGCTTAGAAGTGTCATTAAAGGCAGGCTAGTTGGAGGGAATGGGGCAGGGGAGGGAAATTTGGGCTATTGGTCGAGAAGTGGACACTGATGAAGCGATTGGTATCCGAACATACTATGCCTGGAGTTCAGTTATGAATAACTTTGCAACTTTGTAATCTAGGGTGATTCAATAATAAAACAAAGTTTTATCTTTAAAAAAAAAAAAGCTTAGTTCAAAGGGAAACAAACATCCAGTTCATTACATAGAGCCTGCTGGGGCAGGCTGTGATATTAGGGGCCTCGGAAGCTCAGTGAAACAGCGATAGAGAAAGTGATTTCTGAAGCCTCAGGGCAGCAAGAGCCAGCTTCATCAAAGCAGCATTCCATGCCCAGGGCTACTGGCCCAGCGTACCTTCCATGCTCCAGAGGCATCTTAGGATGGACAAAAGTCGAAGGAAGACAGGGGAGGAGGTTGTGGTTTGCTGGACGGTGGTCACTTCCCTGAGCTTCCGTCTCACCCCCTCCTCCATCCCTGCCAGCTTCTACAGTCTTTTGAAGACATCCCCCTGTGCGGCATCTTGGAGCAAATACAAGAGAAATACAACCTGCAGAAGGTTAAGAAGGTGAGAGTGGCTCTGGGGAGGTGGGCAGCTTGCGGTGGGCATGCTTACACCCTTCTCACCGGTGCCTGGAATCCTTTTGTAGAACATGATGAGACCGGCTCTCTTTGGAAATCTGTTTGGGGTGCTGGCCCTCTTCCAGTCAGGCAGACTAGTGAAGGTAAGAGCTTCGGGGGCATGGGGGATTTGGACTGGCTTGGCAGTGACTGGTTGTTCTCTGACGCGCATTCTCTCGCTCTCTCTCTCTCTGTGGGCATCAGGACTCAGAGGCACTAATGAAGTCAGTGCAGCTGCTGCAGACACTGGCCCAGCACTCCAACCATCTGCAGGAGCAGCCCCAGAAGGCCTTGGTGGATATTCTCTCTGAGGTATGGACGTAGCAGCAATGGAACTGCGGGTAGTGCTAGCCTTAATTGTGATGTGGAGACATTGTAGATAATGCATGGACATGTTCTAGAGCAGCACTGCCCCATGGAAACAGCCAGGTGTACCTTGGAGAGATCAGGGAAGCAGCTCCAGACTACCGCAGCAAAATAAGTTGTGGATTTTTTTTGGTTTTTCAGTGCTCATCACTGTTACACTTGCATCATATTGTAGACTGCTAGACTTACAATAGCTAGCATTATGTCTAAAGGAGTATGCCCAAGGCTGGAGAGAGAATGCAGTAGGCTTAAGAGCTTGCCTTGCATGCGCCCGACTCAGGTTTGATTCTGGTATCCCGTATAGTCCCCTGAGCACTGCCAGGAGTAATTTCTGAGTTCAGAGCCAGGAGTAACCTCGTGGCATCGCTGGGTGTCATCCCCCCGCCCCAAAAAAAGTACATGCCTTAATTTTAGAATACTAGACATTCTCTGAGCCCTCGGTGAGTTGTAATCTTTTTACTAGTGGACAGTCTTGTCATAGAACCTTGTTACCTGAGGGTAGGGATGTAGTGGTAGACTGCTTGTCTTGCATATGTGAACTTAGGAGTTCCATCTCTGGAACTGCAGTCGAGTTTTGTTTTTTAAGGCAAACATAAAAAATAATTGGTCTGTGAAAACCCCATCACCCCCTACCGCCTCCAGAAGCAGCAGTTAAGAGGTAGTTCTGGACCACTTAGCATCAGTGGGTGTTTATTATCTCTCAGCTTCCTGGGCCTTTGAGCCTTTAACAAATGTCCCGTGCCACTTAGCTAGACAGGTTGTAGCTGTCCCTTATGCAGGTCTGGCAAACAGGACAGGCCCAACAGACTCGCCCCACAGCAGGAGAGTGTCATGGTGCTATGAGAGCCACTCCACTCTGTTTCCCTGCCCAGGTACCCGTGGGCACGCTGAAGGAGATCCTGCCAAAGGTCCTCACAGACGGCTTGAATTCGGTACTGAGCTCCCCTGAGCACCTGGCGCTCTTCCTCCTGGCCCGGGAGAAGGTGCCTGTGAGACTCAAGAAGCTGATGGGATCGGTCGACCTGTTCTCAGCTGAGAACATCCCCAGGTATGAGGGAAGGGAGGCCGGGTGGTTTTCTGGGCTGCATGTGGCCCTCGGGTTGTCCCCTGAGCCCCCACTACCCTGCTCCTCAGGCTGATAGATGTGCTGAAGACCGCTGCTACCTCCATAAGGAAGGAGCACCGGCTACCTGACGTGACCCTGAACCTGCTCCGTCTGGCACTGCGGGAGGACCAGTTCCCCCGATTCTGGACGGATGTCATCGAGCAGGGGCTGATGAAGAAGCATTACTGGCCGGCCTAGTACGGGGGTGTTTGTCTGCTTTCAAATCCCTCTCCCTTGTGGAAGAGCAGCAGGGTGGGCCTGTGGTCCACGTGGCAATGCCAAGTGCTCTAACCCAGCTCTGCCCTGCACCTCCTTAGCTACATGTGTTTCCGCCTCCTGGGCACCGCCCTGCCCCTACTGTCCATGGAGCAGCTGCAGCTGGTGATGCAGGGAGACCTGATCCGGGTGTTTGGAGAGCACGTGGTTACTTCCCAGGTGGGCTTCTGTCGCAGTTTCTTTCTGCTGAAGGTGGCAGGGGGAGTCACTCAGCCAGCGTCTGGAAAGGAACTTGCTCTTTGTCCCTTTACAGGGGGCCTTCCTGCGTGCAGTGGACAGGCACGGCTGCCAGCGGGGGGTGGAGGGGATCTCTGGGTGCCCTTGGCTGGGGCAGGGTTGGTTCTTATGGCCAACTAGCAGCCAACCCCTCCAGACCTCTCTACACCCTGCTGGTGCCCGCAGTAAAGCAGCAGTTGCTGCCAATGTTGGGGCAGTGCACCCGGCTCTGAGCTCAGCACTCCACGGGCAACTCCACAGCATTTGGACACTTATGGTACCAGTGTCACCGCACACAAGAGGCCGTGGGATGTTGCCTCCTTTCCTGTGCCTGCCTCTCTAGTCTCTTGAGACAAGGGAGCTGGGGAGATACCTGAGTTCATGGCCTCAGGGCTCTGCATATAGGTCTGGGTGCACAGGAGGGGCAGTGTGCCTGCACATCTCCCCATCTCAGGTCTTACCTGCTGTGCAGGAGCTGCCAGGCCCTGTGGCTGGGACAGGTGGGCGCAGGAAGCACAGCCCCCGCGATGCTCCTGCTGTGCTTTTTGTGCCTCTGTTTCTTCATCCATAAAATAAGTGCCCCCATGCAAAGGGTTGTGAAAAGAAGCATGCAGCCACGTGCAAACGCAAGAGATGAGGTACACGGTACACACAGGAGGTGTGGGTGCTGAGCTCTACGATGGTAAAAGCGGAGCCTGAACCTGGGGCTGTTTGATGCCCCAGTCTGATCTCAGCCTTTCCTGCCCCAGTGAGTGGTGGGGAGGGAGGGCTGGGCCAGAGATTGGGGAAGAACCCAGAGGCCATGAGTCCAGGCAGAAACAGGGCACCACGGGGTGGCACTGTCTTGCCATGTCCACGGAGCTCGGTCACGTGTAAAAGGCCAGTGGTCCACTGCAGCTGCTGACCCAGCACCTTGTCTGCCTCGCAGGTGCCAGGCCAGTTCAGGTTTGCTCCTGAGATGTCTGAGTATGTGCGCACCTTCCTGGAAGGCTGCCAGGAAGACTCCGAGCGGCAGTTGGCTGCAGTGGTGGCCTTCACCTCCATCACTAACCAGGGCCATCCTGTCCTGGCTACCAACTGGCGTGTGGTGGGGGCCCTGAACATCCCTGCTCTCAGGGGCTATGTGGCCTGGCTCCGGGACATGTTTCTCCAGCCCCGCCTGGACTCCTTGGTGGACTTCAACACCAGCCACCAGGAGAAGAACAAGGACATAATGCCATATGGGTGAGCTGCCCCGGGGGAGCTGAGGTGTTAGCGGCCTTCTGAGCCTGATGCCTGACCTCTTCCTGCCGTGGGTTCCTGGGTCCAAACAGGTCCGAGGGCCGGGGTGGGCAAAGTAGGAGCCCCGCTGTCAGAGACCCATTTCCTGCATGTATGGTCTCTTCTGGTAGAAGAGGGTGAGTGAATGAATGGTTGAAGTCATTAGGGGGTGCGAGTTTTCAGACTCAGGGATGTCGGGGGACTGCGCCTTTGCTCTCAGAACAGTTCTTGAAACTGCCACCTTCCCCCAGGCCTGAGCGTCCTGTGTTTCGGCTCCGAAAATGGATTATCTTCCGCCTGGTCAGCCTCGTGGAAAACCTGCATGTGAAGAAGGAGGAGGCGTTGATTGAGGAGGTGGCCAGGTGAGCTGTGCTCCAGCCCCAAGTCCAGGGGCAGGGTGGGGGAGGTGGTATAGCCAGAGAATAGGGCCTTTAGCCCAGACTTCGGGTGGGTGCTTCAGAGCCAGACGTCTTTGGTTCTGCGCATTGCAGTGGCTGTACAGACCTCCCTGCACCCTCTGCTCCTTCCACCTCCCTACAGGCCTCACTGGGGGCAGGAGTGATGGTGGGACCTTGTCGGCACCCCACAGCCTCCAGTCCATCTTGGTCCAGGGGAAGGAAGGAAGGGCTGTTGTCTCCCCAGTCTCGGCCTAGTGCCTGGCTGGGGTTCAGACCTGAGGGACAGCCTCACACACTCACTGCCCGATCACCCCCCGCCCGCCCGCCCGCCCACTCCAGGCCAGCCAGGGCACTAACCCAGGCCACCCTGTTGCTCCCTCACCCCAGGTTCTGCTTCTTCCATGCATTCTTCGAGGCCAAGAAGCCCGAGTCGCAGATCCCGGAGACCAAGCAGCAGTTCTCCTTCCCCATGACGGACCAGACCCGTGAAGCGGTCAGCTCTGCCTTCTTCAGGTGGGCCTGGGCCTCGGGGGTCCTGGGGGGAGGGGTCACTGTGCTTCGAGCCCCGCCCGTGCCACCGTTGCACTTCCTCCCGCAGCCTGCTGCTGGCCCTCAGCACTCAGTTCAAGCCAACTCGGGAAGAGGCCCAGGAGAAGCAGTCCTGGCTGTCCCGCCTAGTGCAGTTCGCGGACACGCTGCTGAGCCACAGCCACCACGTGGCCACCCTGAAGCCCTTCACTAAGCCGCAGCTCCAGGCCTGGAACCGGTGAGGGGCGCGGCGGGCTAGGAGGGGTTTGGGCCCTGTCTCGGGCAGCAGTGGCCTAAGAAGGTGCCCCGTGGCCTACAGGATGCTGCAGGCGCTGAAGGAGTTAGAGGCGCGCTCCTCCGATAACATGGCCGACGCCAGGGCCAAAACCACGGCCTTCCAGCACCTGCTTCTTTTGGTGGGCATCCACCTCTTCAAGGTACGGCCCTGGGGCAGCTGTGTGGGCATCCGAACTGGGCTTTGGCTTCCCTGACCCCCAGCACTCCAGAGTGCTTCATTGAACAGAAGATGGGGGGGCGGCGGGGAGAACATCTGCTCTGGGCCGACCTCTCGCCTCCCGAAAGCGTCTCTCTCTGTTGGTACTTAGAAGTATGGTCCCCCTCTCTGTAATTCTTCACCTATCTGAATCACAGCGGTGGGTTGAGAGTAGCAGAGCTGGTGGGTTTTTCCTTTTGGTTTTTAGGCCACACCTAATAGGGTGGGAGATCAGCCAGGGCCTCTGGTGGGGAGCAGCGGCTCAGCCCATGGGGCCCTCTCCCGGCCTCCAGAGTTCTGTCTGCTTCTGGGGGCTTTGCACCCGGCACTCTCCCTCAAAGGTGCTAATTCCTGCACCTACTACACCTACTAACAGTTTCCCCGGAACCAGCTGCATGGCCTTTCCCGTTCAAAATCTCCACCAAGCAGATTGCTACCCCCTTAGAACTTGGTGGCTGCAACTCTGGAGCCTCAAGGCCTCTCCCTGAATGGTGGGACTTGGAGGTGTCCCTCCCCTGCAGGCCTCAGGCATACCAAGTCCAGCTGTTGTCAAGTCTGGCGGATAACAGTTGGCCATGGCACCTCCCACTCCTTGGCTTTGGGCCTCTGGTAGCAGTGGGCTACTGCCCACTGGTGCCACAGGCTCATCCCGAGGGCCTGCCCCTGACTCTAGAGGCTGGAGAAGGGTTTCTCTTGAGTGCCTCAGATGACACAGTGACCTCAAGATCCTCCCAGTACCCTGGTCATGACTGGGGCTTGGACTTAGCCCCAGGGTGTTGGGACTTCATTGGTATACGTCAAATTAAGCCCATGATATTCTGTTCTTCCTCTAGTGCCAAACCAGGTATGTAGGGAATAATCTAGAACTTTGGTTCTGGAGGCGGCACTTCCTGTTTGCTTCCTGTGCCCTGTCCCTGCCTCCTCCACCATAGCTCAGTCCCAGACAGTGCTTGTGGCTGTTATGCCCTGAGGGGCTCAGGTCTTGGCTCATTATCACATGGGAAGGTTCTCAGCTGCGCTGGGGCCCACTGTGGGCCCTGCCTTCTGGCCTGTGAGGGCAGCTACGTCTTTGGTTCCTGCTGCTTCTGCTGGGCTGGTCCCTCCCTCATTTCTGCATTTCTGTCCTGCTCTGCCCACAGACCCCTGAAGAGAGTTGTGACCTCCTGAGTGACATCCAGACTTGCATCATGAAAAGCCTGGGGGAGAAGGCCCGCCGGAAGCGCTCTAAGGCCACCTGTGGGTCACTGCCCTGGGGAGTTGGTGGGAAAGGGGATGCTATCCTGTGCTCGGTGGCTCAGCCCTCTCCTGGCTTGCAGCCCCCGAGGAGCCACCGTGGGTGGAGGTGATGGTGGAGATCCTGCTGGCCCTGCTGGCCCAGAACAGCCACCTGGTACGCATGGTGACCCGGACCGTGTTCGGCCACATCTGCTCGCACTTGACCCCAAGGGCCCTGCAGCTCATTCTGGATGTGAGTGTTTTCCTGGGATGGTGGGGTATGCCCTAAGCATCCGGCTGCATGCCACCCCCTTGTCAGCTGCAGGGAGGGTGGGCCTTGCTGACAATGGTGAAAGGTATGTGGGGAGAGAGGGGTCACCAGGCTTGCCAGGTGGCTGGCATGGAGCAGGCCTGGCTGTCTCCTGGGGCCAGGGCTCAGGGAAGGCCCAAAGGCTAGGGAAGCAGAAGGGTCAGCTGTCTGGGTTTGTCACACAGGTGCTGAACCCCGAGAAGAGCCAGGACGATGAGGAAGAGGAAACTGTGGTGGTCACAGATGATTCCCGGAAGCGCTCAAAATCTGCAGAGGTGCTTGTCAGCAAGGGGAAGGGCCAGGGGGACATCCATGAGGGCAGGGGGCAGTCGTAATACCTGTCCATGCAGGACCAGGACTCCGACAGCGAGGATGCAAACTCAGGGAGTGAGAGTGACGAAGAGAGTGGTGAGGAGAGCGGCGAGGAGGAGCGGGACGGGGACGTGGACCAAGGCTTCCGGGAGCAGCTGATGGCGGTGCTGCAGGCCGGGAAGGCGCTGGTGAGCAGGCGGGAGGGCTCCTGCCCTGGGCATCGACGGGAGGAAGGGCCACTCACGGGGATCTGTTCTTGGGGGTGAGGACGGCGATGGCGATGACGACGACGATGATGAATTGAGTGACGAAGCCATGATGGCCCTGGACCAGAACCTCTCCAGCCTCTTCGCAGAGCAGAAGCTGCGCATCCAGGCCCGGAAAGATGAGAAGAACATGCTACAGAAGGAGAAGGCTCTCCGGCGGAACTTCCAGATCAGAGTGAGCCGGGTGCCCGTGTCAACCCACTCCTCCCGGGTGTGTGGCCACACCCTCGTCTGAGCCCACCTGTCCTGGCCACAGGTCCTGGACCTGATCAGTGTGCTGCTGACCAAGCAGCCCGAGAGCCCCCTGGTCCTGGAGCTGCTCAAACCAATGCTGGAAATGATCCGCTGCACCATGCGCTCCAGCAGCACCTCCCACGAGAAGGCCCTCCTGCAGAAGACGGCCCGCATCTTCTCGTGAGTGGGCAGGCAGAGCCAGACACTGGGAACCCACAGTCTGCTCCAGCCACCACCCCACAGCCAGCCGGCGGAACTGGGGAAGGGGCTGGGGAAAGGGCCAGGGTTATGGGGGCAGGGACACCTAGTTCTCCTGGAGGTGCCAGGGAGAAGTCTGTTACTGGGAAGGTAGTTTATGGGACAAGGCAGGAAGATTGCGTGTCCAGATGGAACCCAGCAGATGTAGCTGGAATGTAAAAGGCTGATGGACCCAACACCCAGACTCATTGCAGCGGGCCACAGAGGCATTTATCCAGAAAGGCCTGGGACAGCCTAGTGGGCAGGACTGCTTTTCTAGGAGAGAGCAGCAGAGGGCGCACTCCACTGCGTCAGGCCCAGCCTGGGGTGCACAACGTGGAGGGAATGATGGTTGTGCCCTTCACGCAGGGCCTGCTGCCTCCCCTTGCCAGCCTCGCCAGCCGCTTGCTTGTGTTGGATCTCTAGAGGGGCCAGCCTCTCAGCCCCCACTCCCTGTTGCTCTCTTGGCTTCTGTTTGTTGGGGGGGGGGGCTGTCTCTGGGGCTTGGCTCTGCAGGGCAGGGAGCAGCGTGGAAGGAGAATGCCAGCCCCAGCTCTGCCCTCTCCCCTCAGACAAAGCCTGCTCCACGCCCGACAGTACTGCCGTGATTTGGACAATGCTGAGGAAATGCTGCACCCCCGGCTGGCGTGGCTGGTGCAGCAGGCAGGCCGCCAGGTGGACGCCTCCATCTCCCTCTACTACTTCAACGGCTCGCTCTACCTGCTCCGTGTCTTGAAGGGTAACGCCATCCACAAGGCCCAGAGAGAGAACGACTGCGACAAACCCGGGAGCCCCAAGGTGAGGGCCCCACGAGCTGGCCCAGCCCACAGAAGGGGAGGGAAGCACTTCCCCAGAGCCGGGCTTCAGCCTTCTGCAGGCCATTCAGACTCTGCCCACCAAACCTCTTCTGCCACCACACCAACCCATTCTCTTCTCCGTACCAACCCGGCCCAGGCTTCCAGCGGCTTGAACCTGAGCTTTGTGGTCCCACTCTACTCGTCGGCGCTGAGCTCCTTCCTCACCAGGCGCAACAGCCCCCTCACGGCTCCCATGTTCCTCGACCTCTTCAACCGGCACCCGGTGAGTGGGGGGGCGGCCCTGCCCTGGGGCCCTGCAGTGTCTGGCGCTCACCACACGGCCTCTCCCTCCCTCCCTCCCTTCCTAGGTGCTGTGTAAGGAACTGCTTCCTGTCGTCACCCGCCACCTGGCGGGCCCCGTGCGGCCCCACCAGCAGGTAAGGCCCAGGGCCTATTGGGTCCGCAGGTCTGGCTGCTGGCTGGGTCTCTTGGGCCCAGCCCATCCTACGGGTGCCCCTGGACCCTGGCACATGCTCTCTCGGGGTAGAATTCGCTCTGGCCCCTCTGACCCAGCCACCCTCTCCTTCACCCTTGGCACTGAGCGGCAGGAGCTGGGAGGGTGACTTTCTCCCCACAACTGCCATCTCCCCCCTTCCCGGGCCGCCTGGCTCTGGGCTGAAGGGCAGGAGAATGTGGCTGAGGTGGTCAGGGAGCTAGGAAGAAGCAGCCTCGGACCTTCTCTTCCCCGGGGCCGGGTAGGCTCTGTGTGCCCTGGGCCCCTTGTGGTTCCGCCTGCCTCGGCCCCACCTCGCACTGAGGGCCTTGGGGCTGCTTTCCCTGCCCAGGGCCAGGCTTGCGCGCTGCTGCAGAAGGTGCTGTCCATGGGGGAGCTGCTCAGGCAGTGCTATGAGGAAGCCGGCTGGCAGCAGCTCCTTGGCCAGATCCTGGCGAAGGTCACCGAGGTAACCCCCGCTGCAGACTTCTCTTCGCGTACCCCGGGACTCCTTCTGGGAACACTGGGGGGTTGGAACGCGGGGTGTGTTTGGGGGTCAGCCAGTGTCTGTTCCCTTGGAGCAGTGGCATGGCCCCAGGCGGCTCACCCCAGCCCCTTCTCCCCAGAACGTGCGCATGTTGGGTCAGTCTCAGAGCAAGGTGGTGCTGCAGATGGAGCTGTCCTCCTTGGAGCTGCTCAACACGGTCATCAAGAGCGTTAATCATGGGGTAAGGCTCCCAGGGTGCGGACAGTGGGACCCGGCTGCACGGAGCTTGCGGGTGGCACTCGGAAGGAAGGGTTCTAGGTGCCTCAATGAGGAATCAGTAGTAAGTGGGAAATGTGGCGGATGCTCGGGTGAGGGGGCCATCATGGATGAGGAGGGAGTATCTGGGGATGTGCTGGGCTTCTTCCCCTCAAGAGGGGTTTGGAGTCCTTAGTGTAAATGCCAGTCAGAGCCAAGTGTGGCTTAGCTTGCCGGAGGGCGCTGGAGAAAGATCGGGCAGGGGGCAGGGGGAGCAGTGCCAGGAGGGAGGCGTGTCCTGCAAGACGGTGCAGAAACCCGTGTGGCAGGAGGTGTGACCGAGAAGGAGCGTGAGCAGCCCTGGGGCCATTGCGGGGGGCTGCGACGGGGAGGAGAGGACGCAGCTCCGACCTCTGCCTGGAAGAGGGGTAAACCTGGCTTGGCACAGTTTTTCCTTCCCGTACGGAGAGGCAGTGGTGGTGTGCAGCAGGGGGCCCAGGAGGGACGCTGGGGGCCAACAGCCTGGATCCCTCTGCAGAAGCTCTCCACGGACCTGACCGGCATCCTGGCTGTGTTGCGGGGTCAGCAGCCCGCCCTGCAGCAGAGGGAGCTTGAGATGGGCTCCAGCCGGCTCCTCGACCTCTACTGGCAGGCCATGAAGTTGCTAGGAGTCCAGTGAGTTGGGGGCCCTGGAACAGGGTGGGCTGGGGAGGAGGAGCTGCGGGGAGGCCAGGGGCTCCCGAGCCGAGAAGGGTCTCTCCTCCCTTGGCCGACACTTGCATGCTCTGCTCACTTCCAGGCGCCCCAAATTAGAGAAGAAAGATGCCAAGGAAGTTCCCGGTGACACTCAGAACCCCATTAGCACAAAGCGGAAGAAAAAGGGCTTCTTGCCAGAAACCAAGAAGCGTAAGAAGCGTAAGGCGGAAGGTGTCACCCCAGAGGATGCCAAGCCCGCACCCCCCAGTGGGGACCAGCCCCCCAGCACTGGGAAGAAGAAGAGGAAGAGGAGAAAGAAGAGCAAGGGGAATGCCCAGGTCCCAGCCCAGTCCCCGGTGAATGGGTCACCTGCCACTGGGAGTCCAGGGCCGGCTCCCCCCACCACAAGCCCCAGCGCCCCTCCCAAGACCCCGAAACGGCCAAAGAAAAAACAGAAGCTTTCTCAGGTGAATGGAATCTCTGTCCTGCGCCCCACTGACCCTGAGGGCAAACAGCAGCAACAGGATCCGCCAGCAGAGGTGGTGTCAGGCAAGACCCCACAGGCGCCTCAGCCACGGAAAAAGGCAAAGTCGTCTCTGGCTAGCGGGAGCCCCAGTCTCCCCCAGAAGGAGGCCAAGAAGAAGAAAAAGCGGGCCGGGAAGGGGGACAAGCCATGAGTGTAGGCTCTGCCCACCAGCCCCCAAGGACGCACACTGGCCTGGGGAGGGGGCAGCCGCCCCTTGAGTGTGGCCCTGGGGGTTCGGGGCCTGCAGGTCCACTGTCCAGGAGCTGCTGAGCCACAGGAGCAGGGAGGTCGCTAGGGGTGGGGACCCGCTCAGTTCACAACAGCCCGTGCTATTCCGTCCTCGCATCCCCAACCCCTGAGTCACTGCCACGGGAGCCACCAGCCATGATTTAAATAGGTTTATTTCTTCATTTACAAGGAATATATTTGGCTTCTCTTAAGACTCTGAGATTCACAATCAGCAGCTCTAAAAAATAAAGGAGCAGTTTGGCTTCCGGAAGGAAGAGGAGGCAACACTTGGACCTGGTTCTTGTACAACAAGAAAACATCGCTGGGGCCCTGTGAGGCTGGGGTGGGAGTAGAGGCCAGGCTGGTCTTCCGGGGAGCACACCCCTTGTTAGGCCCCCCAGGGTGCCCCAGCACTTGGTGGGGAGTGGGCATTCCATTAGCTTACGCGCCACTGAAGCCACGCCAGCCAGTAACTACAGGGCAAAGAGCGTTGTCTAAGCTGGCTCCTAGGGTCTCCTGCGGGTTACATGGGACCCCCAGACCGGACACCTCATTCCAGCCAGCGCACAGAGAGGGCTGTGGGGCAGAGAGCAGAAGCTCCGTCGAGGAGGCCTGGAGGCTCGGGTGGGCCCCCTCCCTGGTGAAGCGGAGAGTGGGGTGTTGGTGAGCAGAGGGTGCGCTGGAGGGCAGGGCTGGGGCGCAAGAGCAGCTGTCATTGGATGGGTGGGCTCGGAGTCGGCCTGCGGGGCCGCTACCTCTCCCGGCTATTCTGGACAGGAAGCGCGGGTTGCCTGGCCACTACCTCAATGGTTCTGGGAAAGCCCAGCCTGCGGCAGCGGCAACATTTCTGCTTCTGTAGGGGGATACCGCAGATGGCAAACCAGGGCACAGGCAGACCAAAGCTGCCACCAGGGCCTTCACCCCTGGCGATGCCACTTCTGTCGGGTCGGTCCCCACCCGGGGGACCTCCAGGCAGAGCCAGGCCTCTGTTGAAACAGGCTCCTAGTGGCAGGACTGAGCGACAGCCCTGAGCACGCACAGCCCCGGAGGGAGCCTCAGAGCCTGAGGTGCCACCCAGAGGCCGGGGTGGCCCCATCTCTGTACGGTGCAGGAGCTGTGGGTTCTTCGAAGCCGCACAGAGTGTCCTGGCCGGCACGCTGCCCGGGAAAGCGTGGCCCCCTGCCCTCGCTTTCTGAGGAGGCCAGGGACTTGCCCAAAATCGCATAGGCCAGTGACAGGCCAGGCTCTTCTGGCACGCCCACTGGGAGCTGCCTTCTCTGGGGGCCCCAGGGGCTCAGTGGCCCCAACCCAGGGCTGGGCATCTGTCCAACTGTGCGGCTCCAGAGCACGCTGTCTGCCAGGTTAGCTGAGGACACAGCCTCTTGGAGCCACGGCCACTCGGCAGTCCCAGACCAGAGTGGGTGAGTGCCCAGCCGTGGGTCACACAGGAAGCTCTGGCATAGCCCAGCAGGACTGGCCAGCTGCCGGGCACCTCCCAGCCTGGGCAGCAGAGCGGGTTCTTCATGGTCCCAGCGGCACCTGGAAAGGAGGGGTGGAGGGTCAGAGGCGGGGCTTGGGAGAGGATCCTGTGTGCTTCCCTCCTTCCTTCCTTCCTAGCTGATGAGTGCAGCAGGCCTGGCTCTGGGCTCCAGGTCTGCTGGAGACCTGTCTCTGGTCTGCTGGGAAGTCACAGGCCCAGAGGAAGGTCAAAGAAGTTGGCCAGGCATTGGCAAGATGATGGGGGCCAGAGTACAGGGTGGAGCAGCAGTACCTGGCCAGGCTGGGTCTGGCTGCTGTCCCCATCCCTGAGGAAGGGGTGGGGACAGGCCCTGCCTGTAGCTCCTCCGGTCTGTTCAGGGCCTGTTTGGGGAGGAAGAGGGCCAAAGCCAAGGGCAGTGAGCCGTGCCCTGGCAGTAGCAGCCTTGGGAGGAGAGGTCCCTGCAGTGAGTGATTCTGAAACCATCCCGAGTCAGCAAGTGGTTTCGGGTGTCACTGGGGGTTCTTTCCCTTGGTTCAATGAAGGTAGGTTTCCAGGGGAATACCAATTTTTCTTATCTTCTTTATTTATTTTTTTTTTCTGAAAAGGGGGGGTGGTAAGCCAAATACATTTGGGAGTCTCTGTTCTAGAACATTCCTCATTGCCGTGCGTGGTACTGCCCAAGCACTCCCTCTCCCCTAACCTAGCCTCCCTGGCCCTGCACTCACCTCCTTAGACTTTCACGGAGGTGGGTGGTATCACCAGCTGGTTCACCCTGGGGGAGAGACGGACGGGGGTCAAGGTGGCGGATCACCGGGGGCCGGGCCCGGGCACGGCTCTGGCACATCGCATCGCAGGGGCCAGCTGACCGGAAGTGCTGGGCAGGGACCTCGTCAGCCCCAGGGGGAGGTGGGAGAGCCCAGGGGTAGGGAGAGGAGAGAGAGAGAGAGTCAAGAGGACAGGAGAAAGAAGTCAGAAAATGAGAGGAAAAGTAGGGAAGGGGCCCAGCTCTGAAAACTTCAGGGAGAAGCCCAAGAAGACAGTGTCCACCCCCCGCCCCCACCTCCCGACCCTGAGAAATACGGGGTCAGCTAGACCTGCAGGACCCCAGAAGCTGAGTGACCCACCCAGGGCAAGTTCCCCTACCTCCCCACCACCCCACTCACTGCTGCTCCGCCTTGGCGCGGTCGCTGAGGAAGAAGAGCGCCGTGGCCAGGAAGAACATGCCGCCCAGCACCACCACGAAGGGGCACAGCATGAGCGCGTAGCCCAGGCTCAGGAACTCCCAGAGCGGGGAGTCCTTGGTGCTCTGGCGGATCACGTCGGAGATCTGGGGGGATGATGGGGCGTCAGCACGGAGCCACCTCCAGGAGCCACCCCCCTCCCCTGCACACCCTTGCCCCCCAAAACTCACGAAGCCAATGAGGTAGGGGCTTCCGGCGTCCCCCAGCAGGTGGGAGGTGAAGCTCTGCAGAGCCACCGCGGTGGCCCGTCTCGTGGGAATGACCACATACTGCAGGAAAGGAGCAGGCCAGGGGTCAGGGGAGGGTTCGCCCCAACTCTCCCGCCCAGGATGTCCTGCTCTGGGCTCCCTGGGCCCCACCCCGTGGCTGAAAATTCTGCACAGAGTTCCTGGTGGGGAACCACAGTCAGTGCTCCAGGGGAAACTGAGGCCCAGAGGCACAGGCTCCGGGAGCCCGGCTTCAGTGCCTCTTGCCCTCACTTCTCCCACCAGTTCATCTGCCTTAGTTCTCAGGAGGACCTGACGGGATCCAGGCTGGCTGGGACGGACGGTGGTGGAGGGGGACCCTTCCTGAGAGGGCCACCCATGCATCCCCATGGGGCTGTAGGTCCAAGGTTGGGCAGGCCAAGGCTAGCAGAGGAGCCGTGGCCAGCGCCTGGGCACCACTGTCAGAGCTCCGGCTGCCCCATCTACTCAGAGTCCCAGCCTTCCTGGACAGTGTGAGAGCCCCATTACCTGGTGTGGAGGGAGGAGGGGGAGACCTGGATACTGTGGGACTGTGTGGCCCCATTTCTAGCAATAATTAGTCACTTGGCTGTGACACTGAATAAACTAGGACATGATTTCCCTGGGACCCAAACCCATCGACCGCTGGGGGTGGAGGCAGGGGAGGGGACCCAGTCAGAACCAGGGCCCCAGACTCAGACCTGCTCGATCTCCCCCTCCCCCTTTTACCACGGCATGTGCAGTGCCCCCAGCCCCAGGCCTGCCCCCACACAGCTCCAGCCTCCAGGCCCACTGCAGGAGATGCCTGGGGAAGCACAGCAGGGGCCCCCCATTGGCAGACTGACCCAGACTGGCCCCAAACCCTACAGGTCAACTTTCATTTCCCGCCCCAGGCCTGCTCACATCTCCCCAGATGTTTTTCCTACCACAGCCTCCTGTTCTGCACTGACTCAGGGAACCCCAGGACAAGACTAGGTGTCCCACACTGCGCTCCTCCCGACACACACACACACACACACACACACACACACACACACACTGCTGCTCATTACTTGGGCCACAGCTCCTCCCAGTTCCAGCCAGGCGGTACTGTCCCGCCCAGGGACACAAGAGACACCCTTTGTCCACAGCCAGCGGGTGTGGGGCCCATTGTTGCTGTGTGAACACAGCCTCTGTCCACCCGGGCCAGCCGCAGGCACTCGGCAGGCGTGCCCGGGCCCCAGGCTGAGCTGGGTGGGGCAGGGTTCAAGCAAGCCGAGCCTGGGGGAGGAGTGCTGGCAGGCAATAGCACCTCTGTGCCAGCCTGGCACCGCCAGCCTCCCAGCCATGGCACGAATCTGAGCCTCCAGCCATCCCCCACCCAGCCAGGTCTGTGTCCTTCCCCTTCACCCGTTCAACCCTCCAGGCCTCAGGAACACTGTCCCCTCCCTGCCACCACTCACCTTTCCTTTTTCCCACCACCTCTTCCCCTGCTCTGCCCTACGGGTCAAAAGACTTGGGTCAGTCTGAGGCTGCCATGTCTCACCATGAGGATGTCGGCGGTGATGGCCCAGTTAGAGAACAGAAGCGTCTCCCCGACAAAGATACAGACCTGCCCAGAGAGAGCAGAGCAGTAAGTGACCCTCCGTGCCGTGGCTCACACAGCTGGCCACTCGCAGGGAATCCCCCCAAGCCTCCCCCTGCCCCCCACCCCCGGGGTCTGCTCTCCCAGCAGTCAGGCTCTTGGATTTGTGGGCTTCATGCCTGCAGCCCCAGTGGACTCAGAGTCCCGAGCAGGGCCCTGGACAGAGCTGGGGCAGGCCGACTGCATCCCGTTCCAGAGCGGCACCCCCTCCGGGTCCTGCTCCCCCAGCCGCTCTGACACCCCTACCCTGCACTCACATAGGCCCCAACGATGCTGCTCTTGGCGGCCACGAAGATGAGGCAGATGAAGATGGCGGAGCCCAGCATGCCCACCGCGCACACCAGGGGGTCGGCCCGCTGTGTCCTCAGGCGGCACCAACGTGTGGCTCCTGCCCCCGTGACTACACCCAGGAAGCCTGTGAAGCAGGTGATGGCCCCAAAGATGAGGCTGTGGGGACAAAAGACAGGGCAGGTTGAGAGGGCCAAGGCCCGGACAGAGGAGCTGGCATGCCTGCCCCACTGATACCCCTGTGCCCACTGCCCTGCCCAGCCCAGCCCACCTGTCCTTGGCCCCGCAGGGCGGGCTGCTGCAGGTCTCCACCGTCTTCTGCACGACCTGAGCGCGGTGCAGGTAGAGAGGAATCCACATGCCCAGGGCCCCCGTGGCGAAGGACACTGCTGACGTGGCCAGGGAGGAGAAGACGTAGCTGCGGCTGAAGGAGGTGAGGGCAGGGATGCTGAGTTGGGGGCCAGGAGCCTGCAGCCAGCAGGGGCGTTCCCGCATGGGGACCCCCCCAGCTGCCTTTTCTCCCTCATCCCTATGAACAGAAGGGGGACTCCAGGCTACAGAAATATGGAAGAGTAAAGGCTGCCCGGAACCGGCAGCGCCCTGGACAGCAGGTTTCATGGGGAGTGTGTTGAGGGCGCTGGGCGGGCCGTCCTCTCATCTCAGCACCCCTCCTTCCCACCAGGGTCCTCCCAGCAGCACTCACTTGCGGATCAGGGCCTTCATGTCTCGAAGCCATGAGGTCCGGGCCTTGAGCTGCCCCCCGAGCTGGTCAGCATGGCCTCTCTTAGTGGCCGGGACCAGGACAAGGATGAGAGTTCCTGTGATCATGCCCAGGATAGGAGACACCTGTGGGGCGGGAAGAACCAGGTCAGGGCACCAGGAGAGTATCTGACCAGCCTCCTGAACGGGCTGCCAAGCTAAGGCACTGGGGAAGAGCCCAGAAAAGGGTGTGGGGATTTTAAATGGGCTTTCTGGGGGTCTGAGCATAGGATAGTGGGGATGGAACTTGCCTTGTCAACCCGGGTTCAACCTCCGGCATCCCATATAGTTCCCTGAGCACTGCCATGAGTAATTTCTGAATGCAGAGCCAGCAGTGGCCCCTGGGCATTGCCAAGTGTTACCCAGAAACAAAATTAATTAATTAATTTAAAGGTGAGGGGAACAGGAAGAAAGGAGGAAGGGACAAATAGTCAAATGAATGGAGGAGGGAAAACAGATAGGCTTATGGATGGATGATGGACAGGTAATTGGAGAGAGGAAAGGATGGATGGATAGGTGAATGGATCGATGGGAGACTGATGATGGATGCATAAATGGTGGGTGGATGGATGGATGGGTGGGTGGGTGGGTGGATGATGATGTACGGATTAAAGGATGGGGGATGGATAGATGCATGGACAGAAGATGTATGGATGGAGGATGTGTGGAGGATGGATAGATGGATGGAAGGGGGATGGATGTATGGAGGAAGGAGGGTGGACAGATGGACGGTGGATAAATGGAGGGTGGATGGAGGATGGGTGGATGGGTGGAAGGAGGATGGGTGGATGGATATATGATAGAAGGGTGGGTGACAGATAGGAGGACAGGGAGATGGACAGACATAGAGACTGATGACTCGAAGAGAAGAGAATTCCTGGACAGAGTCAGATACTAGCTTGCCCTTGGGGCTGGGAACATTCCTCGTGCTGGCTCATCTGTGTGTTGGGGTGGGGGGAGTCAGGGGGGCTCCTTCCCAGGAGAAAGGGATGGGCTACTACAAAACTCAGCTAACTTCTCAGGTACTGCTGTCTTTGGAAGAGGCCCATGTGTGCCCCAGGAGAACAGAGGTTCAAGGGTTTCCCTGTGTCTCGCCTCTCCAGTTAACGGGGCACATTGGGATAGCCTGGACTGCAGGACACAGCCCAACAGGAGCTCCTGAGAACAGGGAGGTCTGTCCCACCCCCACCAGGCCTCAGCGCCCACCAGATGGGGTGTTCCTCTCCATGTCCCCTACTACCCCCATCAAGAAATTCCACGGAGGCTGCTTCCTTCCTGCTTTTGAGGAAAAAACACTTTGTCTTAAGCTTCCGTTCCTCCGCGAGACTGGGGATCTCTGTTTCCTCTGATTGCACTGTCCTGGGGCCTTGGCAGACTTGCCCCAAATCCTCCCTGGGGACAGGAAGTGGCCCCAGGCTCCAGGGGCCCCACGCAGAGGCCCTTTCTCAGACTGCTGCCAGCACGGGACCAGGCGCAAGCAGGAAGCACCTTCGCAGACATGGAATTTCCTGACAGGGTGGGAGAGTCCTCCATCCTCTCTGACAGAGCCGTGGGTGAGGGGCTGAGCCAGCGCCTGCACACCTACGCCCCGCCCCGCTCCACAGTAGGGGCTAATCCTGGGCTCCTGGGGGTGGTGGGGCAGGGGAGCCTGGAGGTGGGGCCGCTGGCCATGGCTCCAGGTGACCATGGGCCAGGGCTGGCCTGGGTCTGTCCTTACCCGTAAGGCCCAGTGCCAGTCTCCAACTGCCTGCTTCACGCTGGAGCCCGTGATGTAGCCCAGGCCGCTGCAGACAAGACAAGCACAATCAGGCCGGAAGGGAGGCGCAGTGGTCAGCGTCACCTGTTCCCCAGCGCCCGGCAGCTGGCGTCAAGCAGGCGTTTCCCACAGCCATGGCCCACAGGTGCAGACCCTGAGGAGTGACAGGAAGCCAGCAGCCACGCGGGCCCGCAAGACCCCAGCCTCTCACTCACCTGCCCAGCGGGATGGCGAAGTAGAAGACCGACAGCATGAGCGTGCGCGTGTTCTTGGTGAAGAGGTCGCCGATGATGGTGGGTGCGATGGTGGAGTAGCTGGCCTCGCCGATGCCCACCAGTCCCCGGGACAGGACCAGCAGCCAGAAATGCTACAGGGAGGGCCAGGGAGTGTTGGGGGATCCCCTGGCTCCTCAGCCCTGGTCCCCCCTCTGCAGGACCCAGAGCTGGGAGAGAGGGTGGAGCCCACTGCTGGTCTCTGCCAGGACTGCACACCACGCTGGGCCTCCGTTTCCCCCAGTAGAGTGTGTCTGACTAGGGTTGGCCTGTGGCTGGGGTGGGACATTCACAGGAGTGAACTGGAGTTAGGGCTCACACTGGCACAGTCAGCATGAAGGACAAAAGTTCCACCCTGTCCCCCCAGTGAGACCTCCCCTTCGGGTTCCCATGCTGCCTCAGCGCCTCCATGGGTGCCCGGCCCCCAGGCAGGGCAGCACTGAGGACCCAGTGTGTGTGGGGGGGAGCAGGCAGGGTGGCCCAGTGGGCTCTGAGCCCCTCCCCCATGCACACATCAAAGCCCAGCTGAGCGGGGGAGGGCGGGGCCATGCCAGCCACCAGTGGCACTGCCCCTTTGATGTGGACCTCGCCTCTCCATCCCCCCCCAGCTGCCCTGGGCCTGAGAACACAGCCCGGTCATCTTTCCCCGGCCCCACCCTGACCACCCATCCGGCCGGCATCGCCCACATTCAGCCCTGCTCCGGGCCCCTCTGCTGCCCTCTCCCCATCTGCCCAGCTCCCCCTGCCCTCCCGGCACCGCTGCTGCCACCGGCCATCCCGCGTCTCCTCCTTCTGCGCCCTTCCCAGCTCCTCCTCTGCTCCGTTCATTCCTAGAGATCCTCTGCCCACCACCTTCGGCCATTCCTCCGTTTCTTTCTCGCACTGATTCCTATTCCCGTTGTGCTTCCTTTATTTTTCGCCTCCTACATTTTTTGTGTATCATGGGTATTGGCCATTTACTATAAATGTCATAGACGTTTTCCCTCATCTTTCTCTCCACTTTATTTCTGGGGAATTTCACCAGTTTATGTGGTTGTGTTTATTTTGAAACTGCCAAATATGTTGATTTTTCCCTAATGGCTTCTGGATTATCCCATCTTGCTCAACAAGGTCGACTCCAACCCAAAATGATTAAAGTCCTCTCTTATCTCTTATTTGCTGTATTTTCTGTTCATTCTTGCAGTTGACCTCTGGGCCTCATATATGAGTTCTCCCACTGAGCCACACTCCCGCTCTGTTTGTTATATTTTAGACAGAGATGAAGAGAATGGAAATTTCTACTGCCCTTCTCCTCTGGTACCAGGGCAGCAGGTGAGAATTCCCATCCCCACTCCTCCCCCAGAACTCTGAGCTGGGCAGTGGCTGGGAGTCTGCCTCCACCTTTGCTCGCAAATGTCTACAGGAGACGAACAAGTATCTCTTGAGTCTGTGCACAGAAGGAACATTTAAAGCTCCAGCTCACGCACCAGGTCCTCTTGCTCTTCTCTCCTCGTTTTGAAAACCCACTGAGGCTGGATGACACAGACTGAGCTCATTCTCTGCAGTTAAGTATCTGATCCCATTTTGTCAGGCGACAAGGTCATTTAGTTTGTTTCCCTTTTCCTCCTACAAGACTCACTTAACAGTGTCCACAAGTTGGCACTTCTCTCCTGGGCATGTACCTCGAAAGCAGAGGCCAAGCCGCGGCCTGTACCCAGAATTTTCACAAAATCCTGCCATTTTACTCTCCAAAGAGGTTCTACCAATTTACACTCTCGCCAGCAGCTTTAATAACACTTGGTGTTGTCAGCCTTTTTAATTGTTGCCAATGTGAGGAGTGTGAAATGGTAGCTCATCGTTGTTTTAATTTGCATTTCCCTGATTACTCCAGAGGCTGAGCACCATTGCCTCCTGCATTTATTGCCCATTTGGGTATCATCACCCAGAATTGCCTGCCACTATCCTCTGCCCGTCTTTCTATGGGGTTATTATTTGTCTTTTTCTTGTTGATGTATAGCTGTAGGTTTTTTGCAATGCACTTTATTTTTCTTTTCTTTTTTTTTTCCTTTTTTTGGGGGGCCAGGAATAAGCCCAGCGGTGCTCAGGGCTTACTCCTGGCTCTGTGTTCAGGGATCACTCCTGGCAGGGGGACCATATGGGGTGCCGAGGATTGAACCTGGGTCGGCCGTGTGCAAGGCCTACCTGCTGTACTATTGCTCTGGCCCCTCAATCCACTTTTTAAAAAAGATTTCTACCTATCTAGAATGTACTTTGCAGAATGGTCTGAAAAATAGACCAGCTTTTCTTGCCAGCCCATATGGAGGTTATTAATTCTCCTCAAATCTGAGCTATTACCTTCATTCCACACTCAGTTCCCCCAGGAAGGAGGCCTGTTTGATGTTCTCTTATTTCAGAGAAAAGCTGTATTGAGGGAACTAGATACGGCAAGTCCCCTCTTGGTGTTATTTTTCACAATGTTCTTGGCAGTTCTGGGTATTTTCCCTGCCAAATTAACTTGAGACTGATATGGCCTAGGACCACCAAAATCCCCATGGACTCGAATTGTGATTGCAATACATTTACAGATTAGTTGGGAATAATCTGCTGCTCTGCCTCTGCTCAGTCTCTCTCCCCTACGCCCTGTGCCCAGGAGGGCAGGCGATCACAGTCCTGGGTTCACAGGTCAGCTCCAAAAGTGGCCCCGGAGACCAAGAGATGAGGGTGGGCTAGTTAAGGGTGGGCAAGGCCATAAGGACTCTCATGGCTTCTAGTCCAGACCCTGTATTCAACTGAGACATGGGACTAGACATGACACGCCTGGTCCTGACCTCCTCAATGAAGCACCCCGTGAAACAAAGGTGCACCCACAAAACTGACACAGCACATCTTTGGGCGTCCCAGAGGGTTGCATGGCTCTCGGGAGATGCCCAGTCTCTGCACCCAGCACTCCCAATCCTGCAGACCTGGTCTCACCTGCCTTTCCACCTGGGTGCTCTCCTCTCCACACAGCCCACCATGCCTGCACTCTGGGTTGGCCACACCTGCCCACGCTGTCTTCTCCCAGCAGGCCTCATCTCACAACCCTGCCTACCAGGCTCGGATGCACCTCCTCCAGGAAGCCTTTCCTGACCCCAGGCACTGCAACAGTCTACTCTCTATTCATCAGCAGTTTGCAGGTATCTCTGAGAGGGAGCTCCTGTCATATCCTCCCTCCCCCAGCAGGGTAGAGAATGCACCCTGGGGCAGGGCTGGTATCCTCAGTGCCCCAGGATAAAAGCTCCTAAAAATGAACATCTCCTTGTTTTGCTCACGTTGGCTTGTGTCTGCATCCCCTGGCCAGTCTCCCCTCTGCTCTATGCCCCACAGTTGCAGCCTCACTGATGACCATGAGAGAGGAAATCTCGGTTTGTCATCCACATCAGCTCTGCAAGTGTGAAGTGGGCTATGTGACAATGACACCTTCATGCTGTGTTCTTGCCCACTGTGGGGTACCCCAGAACCATGGAACAATGGTGGGCATGGGTCAGAAGGAGTTATGTGGCTATGTGGGCAGTGAGGGCCAGAGCTAGTAGGACATCCTGATGCTCTGAACCCCTTTGGAGCACGATGTTGCCACCCTGAGTCAGCACGAAGGAGCTCTGCCACCACATCTCTGACAGGGGCATCCCCCGTGTTGCTGACCAAGACCCCCCTACACCAAGGCCAAAGGTGATAAAATGGCTCCAACTATGTTCAAGAGCTTCAACACCCCGGCCATGTATATGACCACCCAGGCCATGCTATTCCTATGTGCCTCAGATGCACCGTGGACTCTGGGACTGGGGTTGTCCACGGTGCCCACTGATGAGGACTATGCCTTGCCCATGCCACCTGCTGGGTTTGGAATGGAAAATCCTCATGGAGCACAGCCACACCTTAAGCACCACACTGCCAGAGAGCCCAGTAACACCAAAGAGCCATGCTAGGGCACCCTGAGTGTGGAAGGGGAGACGACGCCCACAGTGTCCTCCACCTCCCTGGACAAGAGCTGGGGACTGCCCAGAAGCCAGGTGATCACACCAGCAGCAACTGGCTCTGGAGTCCTCCAGCTCTCCTGCCCAAGCATGGCATCCCGTCCCATGTTCCACCCCTTTATGAAGTGTGACATCGACATCGGGAAGGACCCGCAGCAACGCACTGCGCTCTGGTGGCACCCCGTGCACCCCGGCATTATGAGCCAGACGCAAAGGGAAATCACAGCCCTGGCTCCCCTCCCAGCTCTGTGAAGGTCAAGGTCATTGCTCCCCCAAAGCATGAATCCTCTGTGTGGATCGGGCTCCGTGCTGGCCCCGCTGGTCACCTTCCAGCAGATGTGGGACACAAAAAGGGAGATGATGCCTCTGGCCCCTGCGCTGTCCACCGCAGATGCTTCTAAACAGGTCGTGAGCAGATGTCTGCCCCTGGCTGCACAAGGACTGCCTTGTGACTGAGTATAAGTTTGTCCTGACACATGGAAGTGGAATATCACCCTTGCCTCAGGGAAGTGAAATAAGCCTTTGAGAAGAGACTTGGGAGCAAGAATGATAGTCTGGTATAGGGTAGGGCGCTTGCCTTGCATGCAGCCGGCCGAGGTTCAATCCCGGGCCTCTCATATTACTCCCTGAGCCCCCGAGAGGGATCCCTGAGCACAGAACCAGAAATAAGCCCCGAGCACTGACGGGTATGGCCCTCATGCCGCCCCAGAAAAATTGTCCTTGAAGCTTGTACTGATATCCAGTGGATTGTAGGACTTTGTTTTTGAGTTAACTTCCTTCAGTATGTGTTTAATGTTCTGTACCTGTCTTTGGTTAAACCCCAGTTCATGCAGCTGGTGCCTTGGGGTAGAGGTTTCAGTGAGATGTCCGCTGGCCAGCACTCCCTTATCTAGGCGGGGTGTTAATGCAGGGCTCCCTATTCTCCAGAGGCAGGACAGTCCAGATCCATTGTTATTTTTGTTCCCCCTTTAAGGAAGGATTGGGTGGTCCAGGCCTTAGGGTCTGTTTCCTTTCCAACTCACCCAAATACCAGGGTTTTTAACTTGTCTTGAGTTGGAAAATAGTTTGTATTTATATCTGTAAATATATTCATCCTTTAATTAATTAATTTTTTATATGGGATTCTCAATTCTCAAAGAGGGGCAACACATTGGTTTTCTACTGTCAGGAGAGACTATTAGGCCTCAGCATCACATCTTATGAAGATTAGAGACCTTTGCTTGAATATCTCTGATGATGGGCACCTCATAATTCACAAAGCAATGTATCTGATCTTCAGAAGAAAGAACCAGAGTAACCTTTTGTGGAGCATCTGCAGGTTGCAGGGCCTCTGCGTCCTTAGCTCAGGTAGTTATCACATTAAACCCTTAAGCTGAAAAGTATTATCCCATTTTTGTAGGGTGGCTGCCTCTCTTTAAGATACTTGGGAAGCCGTGTGTGTGTGTGTGTGTGTGTGTGTATACATACATATATATGTATATGTATACACAGCACAGTGGGTAAGGTGTTCGCTGTATGGCAAAGCCTGGCAAGCTACCCGTGACGTATATTTGATATGCCAAACACAGTAACAAGTCTCACAATGGAGACGTTACTGGGCCTGCTCGAGCAAATCAATGAACAACGGGAGGACAGTGCAGTGCTATACATACACATTCACACACACCCACACCCCCCCATATATATATATATATATATATATATATATATATATATAAAATGCTGGCAATCAAATCAGGGTCAGTCGCATGCAGGCAAGCTGGCCCCATATTATTTCATTTTAAAGATGGAAGGGAGGAACCCAACACTCATTGAGGTTGAGTTTTTCTAGAGAAAGACTACTTAACTTTTTCCTGAACCCCTTTTTGCCCAAGCATTGCAAGATGTGTGAGTGCTGCCAGAAGCCCCTGGGATTACACGGTTGATTTTGAATTACTTTGTGGTTATGAACATTCAGAAATCTTTTACTGCTTCAATTTCTCTGTGATTCCCCCCACAGGCCACAGGGCCATGACCCACAGTTTGAGAAATGGGGGACTAGGTCACAGAGTTGGGATGCTTGAGCCAGATCTGTGGGGCCAAGTGAGAAGCACCTCTCCACTGAGCGGGTGTTTGCCTGTGTGGGACTTGGCCTGAGGAGTTGGCTGGTTGTGAGGCTGAGCCCCTGGGCAGTGGCTCTCCTAGGGTCACACAGCATGGTTACAGCAGAGCCAGTATAAGAACTAGAAGGCCTGGTACTTGCTCTCCCTGCCTTTTGTCTCCTCTGAGATCAGAGTGACCCCAGATTCAGGACCCGACCAGGGCCAAGTCCTTCAGTACAGGCGGGCACAACCCAAACTGCTGGGCGTATTTGTAAAAGCACCCAAAGGGGCTGGAGTCATAGTCTTAGCAGGTAGGGCACTTGCCTTGGATTTGATTCCCGACATCCCAGATGGCCTCCTGAGCACCCCAGGAGAGATCTCTGAGCATAGAGCCAGGAGTAAGCTCTGAGTACCAGAGGGGATGGTCTCAAAACCAAAATAAATAAAATAAACACTCAAGCATTATGCATCCCACTGTACCAGAAGACACTAGGATTTGAATCAAGGGAGTGGAACCCTCCAGACTTGTCACCCACCAGAAGCAGTAAAACCCACATGGGACGGGAAGGGTCTCTGGGCAGGAATCCCCACAGGCCTCACCTGCTGGGGGATGAAGGAGCTGGAAAAGGTGACAGCCGACCAGAAGAAGATGCCGCAGCTCAGGATGACCTTCCTGTTGAAGCGGTCCCCCAGGTAGCCAAAGATGGGGGCAGCCACCATGAAGCTGCAGATGAACACTGTGGGGAGAGCAAAGTGTCAGGGGGAGTACGCCTGCCTTTTCTGCCCCCGCTGGAGACCAGGTGAGACGAAGCCCAGGGTCTGAGGTGCGGCCTCACTCAGGCTGGGCCAAGGGGAGGCAAGGAAGGGTGTCTGAGTGAGGGTGCCCCACTATGCCCACTTCAGTGCTTATCCACAGATGGCCTGGTTTGGGGAGATCCCTTTGGGTACTTCTGAAAAAAGTAAAAAAATTCAATTATTACAGAAAGCCAGGACAAGGGGCTTTGGGCAGAATCAGGGCAGCAGTGAAGGGATGACGGGCCAGACATTCATGCAGAGCTAGCTCAGCGGACTGGAGAGATTGCTTTAGGTGCAGGAAGCTGGGTTTGAGTACAGAACCCTGAGCACCTTGCCGGGAGAAGTTCACTGGGTATGAGCCCCAAACAAACAAAGCAAAAGATAAATGCTTCTGATGTGCCAGGAGCCTTGCCAGGAGCTGCCACAGAGCACCACGGATAGACTCACCCCCACCACACCCCCCACCCCCACACACAGTGGGAAGACAAACTCAGAAAGAAGAGACTTTCCCGAGGCCCCACTGGAAGGCAGTATCCCCGTAGGAAGCTGACCCCTGTTGACCTGACCCTAGAGCCAGTGCTTTACCACCCGACTCTCCTTGCAATATTCGTGAAAGAGGGCAGGAGAGTTCAGGGGGTGAGGTGCTTGCCCTGCACACAGCCGATCCTGGTTCAGCCCTGAGTTCCACCAGGAGTGATCCCTGAGCACAGAGCCAGGAGTAAGTCCTAATTGCTGCAGAGCGCAGCCCAAATCCCACCCCCCTCGCAGCTATCCCTTAAAAAAAGAGCTTATGAAAGAGGCCTAGAGGGGGAAGGAACCCTCCCAAGGCCACACAGCAAGTCAGGGCAGAACTGGGTCAGAGCCCCCATCACACACCGTGACTCTTTCTAAGGAGGCTGCAGAGGCTCAGCTGGCCTTGGGAACACTGCTGTTGTTGGGTTCATTGATTCACTCATTCATTCATCCACCCTTTCAGCAAGCGACAACAGTTCCTGCCCTCTTAGAGATTTCATTACAATGAGGACACACAGACAAGGAAATACAAGAAAAAGTATATAGCATGTCAGAGGATGACGCATACTAAGGCAGGCGGAAGTCGGAGACAGGAAGTCGCTGGGTAAAGAGATCAAATGGTCCTGATTTTTAGCAGGGGATGACATTTAAGGGAAAGAGGTAAGGAATCAGACCCTGCAGTACTGAGAGGCAAGACCAGCCAGTGCAAAGGGCCTGGAGCAGCATATCTGAGAACAAGCCATGAGACCCAGTGGCAGAAATAGAGGGGAAGGGCACTGCTGGCTCAGCCGGCGGCCACTGTGAGAACTGTGGCTCCCATGAATGGGGAAAAACAAACAAACAGGAGGATGAGGAGCAGAGGTGACTCGACTTGTCTATTCTCCAGAGGGCACCACTGCCTGACACGAGGGCCTTGGAAGCCCAGCCAGGCAGGGCAGGCTCAGGGCCTCTCAGCAAAGCATCCCGCTTCCTCCGCTTGAGCACAGTGCCACAGCTGACAGGCAGATGGCCAGACAAAGGCCAGGGGTGGACAGGCTAGGTGACCCGCTGGCTGGCCTCTGCCCGCCAGGCTGAGTGTGTGGAAGGGCTGGCTGGCCTCTGCCCGCCAGGCTGAGTGTGTGGAAGGGCTCAGCTGCCTCCTGAAAGGAGAGGGAGAGAGAGAGAGAGACAGGCGGAGGGAGAGAGGCTGGAGGGGCAAGAGGGGTGGGCTGGGTGGGCTGGAGGAGTGTGATGGAGATGATGAGTGGGCCTGCGGGGGGACCCTGTTCACCCCCATGCTGCAGGACAGGGGCAGCAAAGAGATGATGCCCGGAGGGATGGACTCAGCCCTGTTTCCGACTCATGTGCCCAACCTCTCTGGCCTTCAGTCCAGCTGGGTGCTGGCCTGCCTGCAGCACGCGGCTCCCCGCAAAGACAGGAAGCCCTGAGGTTGAGTTGAGTCTGTCAGTTCTCCTGGTGGATGTGCTCCCACTGCACCCAAGTTCTCCCTACCCCGCTCACAGTGCCACCCGTGAAGCCTGGGCACAGGCGGGCACGTTTCCACCGCGAGCCCCCTTCCTTAGCCCAGAGCCAACAGGGAACAGTCACGAAATGATTAGGAAGTGAGGGATTGGGAGCATGTATTTTTGTTTCCAAGGTAAGCTGTAAATTTATATCATTTCATGTTCCACCGAGGTGGCCTTTAACAACTAGCTCACACAATTCCTGAAAATGTAACAATGACTCTCAGGCGGGTCTGGGCCAGCTGCCACACACAGCAACTTCCTCATCTGTAAAAGGAAGATAAAAATAGCGACTCCGACTCCCCGGTGAGTTGCTCCCAGCCCTGGGTGAGATAATGCCGGTGAGGTGCGCAGGACCGCACCCTGCCCTGAGTGGGCCGCCCCCGTCCTCACGGGCCCTTGTTTAGATTAGTCAAGGCAGAAATTATTTCCTCTTATACAGAAAAATAATTTTTCCTGCTGGGCCTGCTTCCCGAGACTGCCTGGGATCAGCTCAGGAGCCTCGGGGCTTGACGTGTTAGGGACAGGAGGAGGAGGAATTGCTCCCTGGTGCTGGCTGTGCAGGGAGGAGAGTGAGCTGAAAGAGCTGGGGGGAGGGGCATGTTTAGGGCCCTGCCAGGGGGCATGACCCATGCATGGGCTGCCCGGCCATGAGGCCATGAGGGAGGACTGGAGGACCAGAGAAGCAGTACAGGGGTGTTTCCTCACATGCAGCCTAAGCCAGGCTGATCTCTGGCACCACATGGTCCCCTGAGCATCACGGAATGCAGCCCTGGAGCTGCCAAGCACCAGTTCAGGTATGTCCCTAAAGGCCTCTGAGTGTCACTGGAGAGGCCCAGGGTGGTCCATGTCAGTGCAGGACTCTCACATTGAGCCACTGGCCTGGCTGACTGAGAATCCCCAGGTGGAGTCCCTAGCCCTCTTAAGCACTGTTTGGGGCCAAAAAGTGAAAAAAGAATGAATAAATGAATAAAGGGCTAAGACGGATCAAGAAGGAAGGGTGGGTTTTGCATGCCAGAGGGCCCGGTTCAGTACCTAGTACCACATGGTCCCTCAAGCACCATCAAGAGTGACCCCCACAAAACACAGCAGAAATAACACCTGAGCAGCACCAGGTGTGCCCTTAAACAAAACAAACAAAAAAGTTAACACTGGGGGCTAAAATGCCAGCAGGAGAGGGCCATATCCTCCACGATGAAGAGGAGGGTTCATGAGGCAGGGAGTCCAGAGGTGCTTTTGAAAGAGTCCGCCCTGATGAGAACACCGGAACACACGATTAGGCACTCAAATACAAATTATGAATCTTATAAGCAATACTATGTAATAATTAACAAGGCCCAGTGCTTTCCGCTGGAGACCCTCACAGGTAGCACTTATGGAGCAGCTAGGATGGGCAGGCCCCCGGGATATGCCCTGACCTAAGCTCAGATGATCTCATCCGATGCTCCCTCTTATCTTCATCTGACGGAGGAGGAGGAGAGTGGCTGAAATAATGCCACACAGTTTGTGTGGCGGCAGCAGAATTTAAGCCCCAATTTGTCTGACTCCAGATTCTGTGCTCTGACTCACATCACAGACCATCAGGGAGGGAAGGGGGAAGATCCAGCGGCTGATCCCCACGTCTGAGGAGGTTCCGAGGGTCTGAGGGCCTCCTGGCAGAGCTTCGGGAGGGTGAGCCAGAGGGGAGGCGGGAGGGAGGACGCTAAGAAGTTCAGCTCTGAGTTAGAGGTGGAGAGCTCCACTGTCCTCCCTTTAAAGGGAACACTGGAGCCCTCACTAGCCAAGGGAGGAAGGGGTGCTGAGGGGGTGAGCAAGGCCTGGGCCACCCCAGACCCATCCCCAGTCCTGCACACAACAGGACAAGAAGGCAGCGCCTCCCAGCTTGGCTGCCCTTGCCAGCTCGTTGGAGCAAGAGAGGCATCCAGGCACATCCTGTCCCTAGCAACCCCATCCCCATCCCACCCCTAGGTCTCAGCAGCTGAGGGGCCCCCAGGATCCACCATGTCCACAGCACAGCTGGGGGCCACTAAGGGCCAGAGAAACATGCCAGAGATGGTATAGGCAGGGACACCCAGACCTCAACGTCCCCCTCTGGGATAAAGGCATCCACAGCAGGAGGGGGGCTCAGGAACTCATCTCTGCCCTCCCCTGGGCTCTGGCCAGACAAGAGAGGCCCCTCCCCTGCCCCGCGGGGTAGCCTGTGTCCCAGCAGGGGAGGAAGGGGGAGAACGTCCCTGGTAGAACAGGCAGCACAGGCAGGCCTGGACATGTGCCCCTTGCCCCAGATGGGGAGCGAGAAGCTGATGGGGTCAGCAGGCGGCTCTGCTGGGAATAACAGCGGGCCTGCTGGAAGCTTCCCTGGCCCGCCCTGCCCCCTACACGGTCTTTGTTTGCAGGAGGGGAGTTTTCTGGGCCAACAGGCTGCCCCGCCCCTAAATTAGGGGTGGCCTTCCCAGCAGCTGTGCACGAGGACATCCTGCGGCTGGGAGTGGGGATCCTTCACTGGGTTCACGTGGGCTGTGCCCACAGTCTGGGACAAGGGTGCGAGGGCCGGGTGGGTGCTGAGGGCCAGGCTCACTCCCACCTCGGTAGGGCAGCAAAATGCCCTCCGTACCAGGTTGAGAGTTCATCTGACAGCACAGCCCTTCTTATATGTTCAGGCTCCAAGTGCCAGACCACAGAGAAGCACCCAGAAGCATCCAGAACAACCCTGTGGAGAAGGATCTGTGTCCCCAGGATGCCACTGCCTGGAGGGCATCTTCTGCTGAGAGTCTAGGGTAGTTCTGGAGCAGGGATGATGAAGTATGAGCTGGGGAGGGGGGGGTGCTCTGGACTCCCACACTGTGGCCCCAGAGCCCATATCTAAAGCCCAGGCCCACCTATTTTTTTGAAATCCAGATCTGGGGGACCCATTATTGGGAGAACAGCCATGCCTCACATCTTGCGGCCAAGAGGCTACTCAGGCGCTGAGTGCCCTCCCTGCCTGCGGGGTGAGGATGGCAACCCAGGTGGCACAGATGGTGTGGGAAAAGCAAGACAGGTGTCCTAGGTGCCTGGGAGCCCCCACTCTGACTACCTGCAGACCTCCTTCGGGTCCTCCTTCCAGCCCCGCTCAGAGGAGGAGCCTTGGGTGGGCTCTGTCAGGCCTCAGGAAGCCTGGCAGGGAGGCCATTAGAACCCCAGACTTGGCCAAGTGAGAAGCTGCTGCCGGGCTGGCCGAGGGTGAGGCAAGCCAGGCCAGCAAGCCATTTGGCCCAAAGCAAAGGCACTGTCTGGTTTCGGTCTGAGCTGGCTCTTCCTCTGCCCTCCTCTTGCTCCTCAGCAGCCCCCTTCCTCGTGATCCCAGGAACCCCAGCCCTGAGCTTCATTCATTCCCACTCTCTGCTCCAACAACTAAGAACTTGCCTGCTCTCGAGGCTGCTGCGGGCCCAGGCCCCTGGCGAAGCCGTTGCCCTCCCCAGTCAGCCCCGCCCGCTGCCAGCCCTCTTCTCTCTGCCACCCACATCCAGCTGTGGGACCCCCGCCTGTACTCCCCCTGCCATCTCCTGAGCGGCATTCCAGCTCATGGCCCTAATCCATCTTCTAGTTTGCTTCTTTGCTCTTCCACAGGGCCCAGTCTAATTAAGCTCATCCAAAAGTTACACTGGGAATTCTTAGCACTTGAATTTCGCTTCTTGAATTTGGAACTTAAGTCCTTCTTGTCTGTTTTGCTTGGGGCGTTTTGCCTTCAGTACTTATTTGGGTTTGGTTGTGGGGCCATCCTCAGTGGTGCTCTAGGGCTCTTCCTGGCTCAGAGCTTGGGGGGAGCATAGGAACTCTGCATATAGCCATGCTCTCTAGCCCCTGAGCCATCTGTTATTTTTCGAATATTGTGCTCTTCCTGTCTCCTAAGTCCCACCCTTTCCTGCAGAGCTTTGGAAATTAAGTATGACTGATGCTAATCCCTTTAAGACAGGTCTATTCCCTGGAGCTCTCGGGGCAGGCTTCCTAGTGCTGCGGCTGCTGACAAGGGTGACCCTGCTTCAGTGGCAACTGTCCTCCATGTCCCGGGCGGGCTCTGGGTCAAGAAGGTTTGCCCAAGGAGCAGTTTTGGACTTGGCCGCTGCTGGCGTGCCTGAAGACAAAGACATCCTAGGGAAGGGTTGGGGTGTGTGTGTGTGTGTGTGTGTGTGTGTGTGTGTGTGTGTCTGTAGGGATGGGGTGACGGGGTTGCCTGGATAGACGAGGAACCAGAACAAGCTCTCTGCATAAAGCCATTAATACTTTCTTCTCCCAACACTGACTGCTCTCCAGTCTGGGGCATAGACTTTAGAAGCAGGAGCTCATCCTGGATCTGGGCGGGAATGAATCGTCCATGTGACACTAGAACCTGGCCAGCTCTGCCTGGTCCTGGGAGCAAAGAATCCTTCACACCTGGAACCCAGACCGCACGACTGATGTTTTGACAAATCTGGGCGGCGGCTACATGAAAAGCTGTTGTACTAGTCTTGCTCCACTTACTATGTGTTTACATTTTTTCATGATTAAAAAAACTGTTTACATTAAAAATATTATAGTAAGGGCCAGGGAGACGGCTCAAAGGGCTGGAGTACATGACTTGCAGACAGGATCCCCAGATCCCAGCCCCAGGCACAGAAGGTCCCTAGAGCACCACGGGGTGTCTCCTCTCCCCTGCCAAAAAATTCTGTAGCAAACTTCTAAGACATATACCGGTCCTGGCGCATTGTACCGCTTGGTTTCACTATCAGCTCCTGATGCAGGTGCTTAGTTCGACTCTGCTTCTGGCACCTGGAAATTACCCTGCAAGCTTGAGCTTTCATGCTCAACTATATAATTTAAGTCCTTTCATGGCACATTTCATCCAGTGAGAGGGGGAAGGGCAGCTTCTCCTATCTGACTCCTTTTCCCCCATCAAACTCTAACTCACCCTTTTGAAATCCCATCCAAATGCCCCCTCTTTGGGGAGATCATCTCCACCTGCCACCAGACAGGACGAGGGGCACAAGAGCTGCATTCAGCCCCCCACCTACCGCCAGGCTGGAAAGGAGACGGCCTCTGCTCCTGCAGCTAGAAGGAGCCTGGGGGGACCCAGACAGGGACAAGTTAGCAGCGGGGTCAGCGATGGCTGTCCGTTGAGGTGCAGGCTATTGGGCTCCTGATTCCTCCGGACCCAAAGCTGTGAACTGCTCTGGGCTCTCAGCGGGCAAGGTCAAGGCCTCTCAGAGTCCAGCTGGGAGCACAGCAGTCTGCAGGGGACTTTTGAAAGCTCTCTCTCCCCCAGCCTCATGGTCTCGTCCCAAGAGGAAAGAGCAGGGCAGGTCCAGGCCCAACCCTCAGCCACCCCCCACCCTGTCTCCCAGCCCACCGCCCCTGGTGCCCGCAAATAAGCAGGCAACCGGGCTCCCAGCCCCGGCCCTTTGATCTGGGCAAGCACCAACACCTGACTGGCGCCCTCCACCCAGCTTAGACCTTATCGGGGCTTGGGGAAGAGACAGGTGCCTGGGGCCCAGGCCAATTAGGTGATTTGCCTGGTTGCCCACTGAGTCACATCCTGGCCGAACTCTGCTGGCTGGTTGGCTCACCTGGCTGAAGGGGCCAGGATGCCGTGCTGCAGAGCTGAGCCAGCCACGCTGAAAGGCCGCGAGAGGCGAAGAGCAGGGGGAGGTCTGCGAGCGCTGGGAACGGGTGCCCGGGCAAGGAGCCCCGTGCGGCAAGTGCCAGCCGCAGCCACCCAGCTCTGGGACCAGCATCAGCACCAGCATGTACAGGGTGAGCAGGCCAGGCGCTCCCCAGAGGCTAGGCTGCCCCCTTGCCCCTCTGCCCTCTTTCTCTTCACAGTGAAGTTGGAGGGGGTTGAGGGGGAGTGTCGGGGGCAGCGTCAAACAGGACGGCTGAGACATTGCAGGGGTTTTTCCTAGCCATGAAGGCTGCCCAGGAGGTGACCGAGCAAGGAGCTGCAGCATCCCTGGGAGTCGCTGGCCTTGGCCTAGCCCTGACTGCGCTCCCTGGGTGGGGGGGAAGGAGGAGCCTCAGAGCCACACTCCCTGGGCCAGTTGGTGGGAGGGGCTGACGTCCCCCGAGTCCCTGTGGAGTGGGGGCTGGGTCGCTGGCTCCCTACTGCCCTTCAGCCCTCCCCCTCCCACCGTCCATCTGTGTTCAACTCTGCTCCGGCTGTAAGTGCAGCCACTGTGGGTGCAGAGTCCAGAAGGCTGGAGAGGCCTGGGGCATGGGGGCAAGCTGACTGCTCAGGCCCAGCCCAAGAGGCCTCTGAGGAAGGGGCGCTCACGCTCTGGGGGGGAAGGGGCGGAGGATGCAGAGGTCTGGACACTCTCAGAAGGTGCTGGGCCACAGCCTGGCTCCTGTCCTCACTGGCAGCTCTCATTGACCAGGACTGAGCCCTGCGGCTCTCCCCCTCTCTTCTGAGCCCACCGAGGTGGGAAGTGAGGCCACAGCTGGGCCTGGTGAGGGGCCGGGGACTGGTATGAGCCTCGCACTCATGCACGCATGCAGGCTGCATGCTGGAATGCCACCTGCACAGGTCAGGCAGGTTCCTGGACAGAGCCAGCTTGCTCCGCCCTCTCTCCCAGGAGAGCAGAATGGGGGAGGGGGTTTGCGGGGCGGGACCAGGTTCACCGCCTGGAATGAGACTGTGGGCTCTCTCCCACACTTCGATGGCCTCGCTGGACCGAAGAGAGACCACCACAAAGCAAGGTGGGGGCCGAGAGTGCAGCCCTGGCTCCGCCTCTGGCTGAAACTGAGCATCCTATACAGCTATGATGCACAGTCAGCAGGGCCAAGGCCAGTGGTCAGTGGTCAAGAAGGACAGGACAGGAGTCAGGGTGCCTGGGGCAGGGGCCCGGCTGGGGAGAGTGCTCACCTGCCACCCCGTTCTGGCCCACCCCATTGGGTCTGGCCCTCTGGAGGGACTGACTGTGGGTCCCGCTCTATCCCACACTCGGTTCTCAGGCCTGGCCCTGAGTTCTGGATCTACTCCGGGCTGACATGGGGTTATGTCCTGCTCTGAGAGCTAAGAGAGGCCTCCAGGGTGAGGCAATGAAATTGAAGAGATGGACAGAAGAGAAACAGGGTCCCCAAGACTTTGCTGGCATCACCCTTCTTTCTGGTCCAAGCCGTTGCCCTCAACAGCAGCAAGATGAACCCTGGGCCACTGACTGAGGCTCCTGGAGGTCCAGGACCCCTCAGATGTGACCAGCATCCCTCCACTCCCACATGTAAATTTGTTTTAGGAGAAAATAAACTGAGACCTGGAGGAGAGAGGACCAGTGGGGTAACAGTGGGTTTGGGGGTGGGGTGTTGGGTCACACCCAGAGATGTTCAGGGCTGACTTCTGAATCAGGGGTCACTCCAGGTAGTGATGGAGGGGCCATATGTGGTTCTGGGGATCTAAGTGGGGGGTCATCTGCATATAAAGTAAGTGTCTTAACCCCTGTACTGTCTCTGACCTAGCAAGGGGGTTCGATGCCCGGTACAGGGAGTGGGGGACGGGGAAGAGACCCCTCAAGAAATGAGCTTCCAGGGAGAGGGCACTGGCGAGGGGAGGCCTCACCTGACTGCAGCAAGCCGGCGCCTCGGTCCTTCACCCCGAAGTGCTGCTGGATGTCCAGAAGGACACCTGGGAGGGGAAACAGAGAGGGTTTAACAGCAATGCAGCCACCTGGGCATCCCACTCCTCAGCCCACTGCTGGCCTCCAGTCCAGCCAGCCCTCTCATGGGGACGAGCAAGAGCCCACCAACAGACACTCACAGCCCTCCCTGCCTCGCTGGGCCATTGGAACCTCATAGGCCACATTTGCATCCTGTCCCCAGGCCTCTGTGAGCATCCTGGTATCCATCCTGATGGAGGAATCCAGGGCCTCTCATCCACCCAGCACGGCTCAACACTCCTCCAATGCCACTCGGTGGCTGGGCGGCCAGGCATCCCCTCTGCCAACCTAGACCTCTCACCCCTCTGAGGTCTAGTCCCAGATGGGGTCCTGCCCTCAGGGAAGACCCCAGAAGCAGCAGCTCCGCCTCTGAGGATGGAGAGAGCAGAGGAGCATGGTGGGCACCCCCACTCATGTGCACAGATCCACGCACCCTTCCAGACACGCATGCCCAGTTTTTCTCCAGGATCCCCAGCTTGTGGCCACAGGAGTTGAGATGCAGAGGGAGGCAGGCCAGAATCTAGGAGAAGGGGACTGAGACCCCTGAGCCAGCCTTCTGCCCCTCAAGTCCCAGCCACCGAGCTCCTCCCGTGAGGGCTATGCTCACTGGGAACAGACCGGAGGGGCCCCCTCAGGGGCCCCCTAGGGCTCTGTACCAGGCTTATGAGGAAGCACGCGCAGTATACCCCCCCACCCCCCACTCTGCTTATCTTTGAGGCCACAGGCAGGCAGGAGCCCCCCGACCGTTTCACCAACCTTGGCTCTGGGAGTGGGGGAAAGGAGGAGGCGACAGGCCTAGGTGGGGAGGCAGGGGACAGAGACAGGGCCCGGCATGGACTTGGGGGCTGCAGCAAGCAGCTAACAGGGTGATGGCAGGGCCCTCTGGGCATCGGTGCCTCCCTGCATTAGACCTTACGCAGCTTTAGGGCACCCATCCTCCAGCCCGCTGGGCAGACGGGAAGACTGAGGCACAGCAAGGTGAGCCTTGTGCTCTGAAGCATACAAGGCAAACTTGGCACACCCAAGTGAACGCCTCCAATCTGGGCTGGGGCTGGGGCCACAGGAGGGGGACCTGGGTATCTCACGGCTCCTCCTGGGACAGCCCGAGATGCTGAGCCATTGCTGGGGTGAAGGATCAGGCAGGGCTGGTGTCCCAGCAGCCTGACAGCCAGAGAAGCTGGCTCCCCTCGTTGATGCCCAGAGAGGATTCACCATAATTACCCGTAATGAAGAGGCTGTGTGCGGCCCAGCTAATGACTTAATAACCTAGGCGGGCCAAGCCTTCCCAGGAAGGCAAAAGCCAGGGACCCATCCTGGGCCTGCAGATGAGGAGGTCTCCAAGTGGGTCCTCCAAGGTACGCCCACCTGGCATCTGGGGCCAGATTTCCCTCTAGACGTGCAGGTGGCCCAGTTGGTCACTCATGGTCCCTCCCAGCCCCACTGCCCTTTCCTACCCTGAGCTGAGGATTCTGTGCCCTCTGACCCTGGGTCCCCACTACTCAGGAGAGGGCCCGGGCCCTCACCAGGCCTTGAAGCTGCCCGTTCGGCCCTGGCACCCCTTCCACCCCCACCCCCAACTCTAGCCACACGTCTAGGAACACTATCCCTTCAGCACACACTCCAGAGCCCCCCACACTACTCATGACCCTCCCCCACAACTGCACACACTTCCTTTTTTCTCCCTGGCACCTCTTTGATCGTGGTGCTAAGTCCTACCATTCTTTCAAGACGAATTCAGATGCCCCCTCCTCTGTGAAGACCTCCCTCCTCCTGCATAAGCTAGACTCTCTGCTTGTCTGTCCTTGCTTCAGCACTTGTCACACTAGGAGGAGTTGGTCCCACCCGCACATGACTACAAACTCAGGCGTGCTGTGGCCCAGAGCTAAAACCCTGCTGGAGCTTCCAGGGACTGTTCCACTCAGGCTGGAATTGACTCCCGTGCCCATTTCAAAGGCGAGAAAACCAGGGCTCCAAGATAACTGGTCACACAGAACACAGGCACCAGAGGTGAGATGTAAAACCAGGCCCACTGTCCAAACCAAAGCTGTCTCCTGCCTTACTCCCTCCAAGTGGCACATGTCCGTCCCCCAGCCACAGTAACTGAGGAAGTCAGTGAGGTGTGTCTGTGTAGCCCCTCCAAACCCTGATTCCCTGAGGCCAGGGCCATGGCCAGTCATCTCCAGAATCCATAAAGGTCACTATTTAGAAAGTGGGTAGGAAAAAAGATGGAAGTCAGGCAACAGTAGACAACCCTCCCAGCTGGTCTACACAGCAGGTTCCCCTCCACACACAGGGAAGGCCCCAGCCAGCAGTCACCATAGACTCATGCTCAGGCTTGGCGTTGGGGGTGACAGATCAAAATTTGTCACGAGCAAATAACAACACCCTTGCTTCCGCCCCAAATTCCATAGTCTATGTGACTGGACACATTCCCCTTCCCACGATTTCAAGGTCCAATGTTTACTGCTGCCTCTAGGAAGCCTCCCTTGTCTTCCTCTATTGCAGATGGTAAAGAGTAAAGAAGGCAACATTTTGCCACATCCAGAGGTGCATCTAGGGTCCCTGGGAACTCCTGGACCATCCAGATCCTAAGACAAATGCTTTGGCTGCTTCCACCCATGACCCCCTAGAGAAAGGTCCAAGACTTGAGCTCTAAGGACAGAGAGAGCCCTGCAGGCAGCTGGTGCTCATGTGGGTCAGTGGGCCCTCTGGCTGTCCCTTTCTGAGCGTCCAGCTTGTTTTCTCTCTCCTGGGGGGTGGTGGTTTGGTGTGTGTTGAGGGGGGGGGTCCCCGCAGGCCTGGCGGGAAGCATGTGTCACAGCCGCTGGCCGGCTGTTTCAGTTTTTCCTCTGTGCTCCAGGCTGGCCTGGGCCTGCACACCCCCTTCCTCCTTCACCACAGCCTTATTTTTAGCCTCTTTCCTGGAGGCTGAGGTTTGGTGGGTCACAGGATGGGCCTTGCGCCCAGGAGCGGCCTCCTGCAGCCCCAGTCGAGCCTATTCCACCAGCCCCCGGGGCAGGCAATATGGGGCTCCTGTCCCAGGGGCAGCCCCCAGCCTCCAATCCAGGTGGCTTCCCAGGCTCCCGTCTCTGAGCTAAGAGCACACCCTAAATAGGGCACCTGGGTCCTCTCACCCACCCACCCGGGATATCTCTTCCAAACCCCCGGATGCTCCCCTTTGCCCAAGGCCAACACTGCCCTGTTTCAGGCCAAAGTCCCTCTTGCCTCACAGGGATCTGACTGACTCCATCCCTGGCCAGGCGCAGCATCCTCCTTGCTTCTTCTGTCCTGCACATCTGCCCACTCACTGCGCACCCTCACCCACCTCCCTCCAGAAGTTCTTAAAGTTTTCTTCCCAAGGATGGGTGTTGGAACATCATATGACAGAAACCCATCATGAACAACTTTATAACTGTGTATCTCATGGTGATTCAATACAAATAATAAAACAACAACAAAAAGATACTGGAAATTTACAACCTATGTTAAATTTTGCTATAAAACAAAATTGATACAAAAATAAGGTTTGTAAAAATAGAAGCAATGTTTGAATATGAGAGAGAGAGAGAGAGAGAGAGAGAGAGAGAGAGAGAGAGAGAGAGAGAGAACTTCTCTTCCCGCCCTAACAATGTCCTTGTCCATCACTCTGGGAAACCCACCATCTCTTGGTGGCTCAAGCCCTCAGGCACGTTCATCCCTTAGTTTCCCACACATCTGGACTTAGATTCCTGGACAGTTATTTAGGCTGGTCCCAGTCCCCTGAACCTCCCCAGGCCCGACGGCAAGGAGGCAGCCCTGGTAATCGCCTCAGCCTGAACCCTTTCCTGCCTCCAGAGACCAAGAAATGGTTTGGGAACCCAAGGAATAAAGGATTCTCTGACTTCAGCTGCTTAGCCTGGGCTGGACCTCAGAATTACCTATAAATTCTTTAAAACCAATGCTCTGTTTCAGTGACACAGCTGAGGACAGCACAGAAACCTGTGTGTTGGCATGCACAGAGCGCTCATCACATGCAGACACGGCTCTGAGAACGTGACCCGAAGAAGCTCACAAGCCCAGCGCCTGCTAACACGGATCCCACGCCAGCTCCCGCTAACACTAAGGATCCCACACCACCCAAAGTAAGCCTGGACTTCAGGACCTGAATGCTGATCTACCCAACAGCCCTCCGAGAGGATCCCCCAGGCAGGCCCTAAGGCATTCAGGCCGCTTGTGCCCATGACAGCAGCCATGCCTTCTTCTGGGGCATCTATCTCCCCTGACTAGATGACCATCTCCCTCCTCCAGGGCCCGATGGTTCCCCTGACTTCCTGTACAGTTCTAGGTTCAAGGTGCATGCAACCAGGGAGGCACCCCAGAGCTGGATAGAAATGGACAAAAATGCACACACACACGCACACACACAAACACTCATACATACAAACACATATACACACACGCACAAGTACACACACACTCATACACTCCATCTCCCCAGCCAGGAGGTCATAGGGAACTTGCACTCATCTCCTCACAGACCTCACAGCTGGGCCCTTGGCAGTCCCTGGTCAACCAGCCAGCTCCAGATCCTGGAGTAGGACTCCCGGCTTCTCCCCTCCCTGGCCCGTCCAACCTGTTACTATTGTAACGTCATCTCAAAGACCCAGTGACAAAGGAAGCCCAGGTAGTCCTTGGGGGCATAACCCTCCACATACACACACACTCACACACAGACACACACATGCTCATATATACAAGCACACACACTCACATGCACACATATACACACTCACATGTACATACAGACTCATACACTCACATATAGTCACACACACACAGGAACACGCACACACACACACACACACACACACTTTCACACCTCATCAGCCAGGACAGATAGGCTACCTGGTACACAAGTTCATCCCCACAAGCATAGCCTTCACCCTCCCCCTAGTCCCCTACCTTCACCGACGTCTCTCAGAGCAGTGGG